GCCTTTCTGGACTGGAAAACAAATTCAAAAAGTTTTATTCCCTGTCATATAGTCCTGTGGACATCAACTAAAAAGAAGTTACAGTCATTTCATTATTATTCTTTTCTGGCCAAAATGATTTCAAACATAAATAATATATTTGGTGTCTGAATTACTGTTTCTGTTTCTACTTTCTACTATGTTAAAATAGCCATTGTTGAAAGAAAGAAGAAAAACACCAATATTAGAGGTGACCCAAAACTTCTGAGCAGTAGTGTGGTGTATTTATTGCCGTCATGGTGTATGTGATGTATTGTCTATATATTTTTTTAAATATTTGCACTCCTTACATCATGTGTAAATTTTAATAGTGACCTGCAAACATCCAGTTACTACTTAAACAAAGAAAAGCTTCTTTGGATTTTTCACCAAGTCACCACTCATAAAGCAACCACTATGAAAATAAAGTGAGTAGAAACAGAGCTGCAACAAAGTTGCCCTGCTGGACTCATGGTATGGTATGCCACTGGGTCTGTTACATCATATTGTTAAATTAGAAAGACGCTGTGTCTAGATTAAAGATTAAATAGGAACGAGTTGGGGCTGTTATTAATTTAAACCGACTGACTATAAATTAGAGTATGCACTGATACATAGAAACCTGGTGGTATTTAGTGGGGTACGTATTTGTAGTAGGGATGGGATAATATATCATAATATTGCGTATCAGCATAAAAAAACACATTTATCATGTTGAATTACCGTTATCGTGACAAAGCTGTCTAGCTCTCCAGCATACAGTGCTATATTGTTTTCCTGATTTAGTTTGAACAAGGGGACAACTGGGATACCGCATCTTCCAGACATCCCAAAATCCTAAGCCTGTCACCATGGCTGAAGGCTCGGCTTCCCCGTTTTATCCCCCAGAAAGAAAAGTTAAACCGGATGTGGAAATAGTATATATTCCAAAAGAAAGGGAGAAGAGGTCCCTTTCTGTGATGCCATAAATATACATGTTTCTTAACAAAATGTAAGGTAAAGTGATTCCAGTATGTTTTAGTGCAATTTTCAAGGCATGAATTATATTTTCATGATAACTGTGATAATAATATGTTTCACTCCAAGCATATTAAAATACTAACATTTCATGTGTACGATTGGAAAATCATATCAACCTAAACTCCACTGGTGGAAGAAGTATTCTAACACTTAACTGAAATGAAAGAAGTAAAGGCGGAATTTAAAATATAATCTATTACAAGCTGTGTATTACAAATTAAAATGATAAAATTAAAAGTATATAAAAAGAATGAGTCTCGTCAGTGTTGTATAGTTACATGAACAAATGAATGAATGATTGATCACATAATGTTATATAATATTTGTATATGAAGAAGCTGCGTTCATGTTCCATCAAAAGACAAATCAGTGCTACATATCACATACTATGTATTATCATTACTATGTAAGCAGCATGTTACAGCTGGTCAAAATGGGAATTTGACCTTGGACAGTTTAAAATACATCATATTTTATAAAAAAGTGTTATATTTCCATCTGTAATGTAGTGTGAAATGGATTTACTCGTAAGTACAAGTAAATCAAAATTGTCTTTATTTTCTCATATTCCAATATCCTTTACGCAATTAAAACTAAATAAAAAGGAAAATATAATTTTAAAAAAAAATGTTGGGCCAAGGATTAAAATGTGATAAACAGAAATTGTAACATAATTTTAGATGGATAATTTGGCCAATTTGACTATTAACTGTTTTACTGCTGTCCTTTTCAACAACCCGCATGCATTTGTAGAATAACAGAATTATATTTAGACATTTGACCTGTGTATACATACAGCATTATACTATATATATACACTAACATTACCAGTTCTTGGAAGGCAAATAATAATGGATTTAATTCAGGTAATCCACTGAACAGAACAGCTGGGGCAGACCATTAAAACATGAAGGTAGAAGGTAAGCTATTGGTAATGTAACATTAGCATATTACTGTTAAATCTTTCAGGTTTATAGGAATGACTGCGGGATTAATCTCTTCAACTAGCTGGTCACTAAAGGAATATCACTGCATTATTGTTGCACAACATAGTTGGTCTTCTTAAGCTAAACCCAGACAAGGAACACTACTGTAGTGAACAGTGAGTGACTCCAGCTTCTGCTCTGCGGTGGAAAGCACAGTTTCACATAAACACAGCCTGAAAACTCTCTGTTCCACTTCAATCATTCTACTGGAATCATTGAACAGATTGGAGGTGTGGACATCCATTTAGAGTTCTCTAACAAGGTTAGTATAAGAAGTCATCGTCACTAAACTTCCAACTAGTAATTAAAATGTGTATTTAAAATCTACAAATCTACAAGTGAGAGTGGGAGTTAGAATAGTTTGCAAGAATGCGAGTGTAAACACAAGAAGGCTGTAAAGGCGTACTAGTGAGTAGATAGGTTTCTATGTTTTAATGTCACTGACAACCTCTGCAGTCTCATTTAGCCACTTTTTAGCAACCTCCTTTTTTTAAAAACAGGTGGGGTATTTACTGACATATTTCATGTTGTAGAGCAAAATGTGAAAATCAGCCGAGTTTATTTCAGCCATCTTACCAAAAACTAGAGTTGTTCCGATACCAAGACCAGTATGGGAAATTACTCTGATACTGACTAGAATTGGGTATTAGCTGCAGAACAGGACTCCGATACTTACAAGCAGTGTCCTGTTTACCTTTTCTTCCCCAGGATTGCAAGGACCCACCCTACTCTGACAAAAGGTTTAACGTGAGCCTGGCTGGGAGCCAATTGGGAAGTGCTAAAATGCTAACTCAGTTCCACCTTTTGGGACTAATTACTGTAACACTCTATGGGGTGCCCCAGTAGCTCACCTGGTGGAGCGTGCACCCCATGTAGTGGGGCTGGGTCCTTAGCGCAGTGGCTCAGATTCAATTCCAGCGGCCCTCTCTATCTACCCCTTTCCTGTCTCTCTTCAGCTGTTGCTGTCCAAAAAAGGCAAAAAAGTCTGAAAAAAATGTGGCAAAATGTAGTTAGAAATGCACATGCATCATAAAGTTACATAACTTGCAAATGACCGATTATAAAACATATTGAAGAATTCTCTGAGCCCAAGCTTGAATTGATTCAGACTTGACAACGCTCCTCCAGAGCCACAGAGGACACTATACAATCACAACTCATGACTATAATGTAGTACTATATACTACTAAAACTGATGTTCATGTGTTCTCGCCCTTTAACCTACTTAGCTACATGAGTTTAGTATGTGGCCACACTGATATTTACACTGAAACACACAGAACACAAAATGTTTTACTGTTGCATAGTGTAATACCACAGCATCAGTGGGCACCATGCAAAGACTCAATGCAATCCGCTCCATTTGCTTTTCTCTAACACTGTTAAAGTTCTACGAAAAAGCTTGGCTTTCTCTGAAAATATTCAGTATCATACTGAATACTTAACACAAACGCTTGAAGAAATAAAACAAGCATTCCTTAATAATAGCATTAATCAAGGCTACTCCAGAGGGACAGCAGGAAACTCAAACATTAGCAGTGAAATCAAACTATAGCAACAGGTTTTGGGGTTATATGGTCGACTCATTCACCCGGCTTTAGTTTTTGTATAACCTTAATGACAACACTGTCTGTTCCAATCAGCTCAGCGCTGCTTCACAATCCATTTTTCAAACTTTATGACAGTTTTAATTGCTCCCACCTGCTGCCTGATCGACCTGCTCAACAGCCACTTTTACTCACGTGTGGAGGCAGACAAAGAAGTCTATTAGGTGCAACTTGCCTTTGCTGCAGTGAGGTCACTTAGGCATTAAATTAGTTCCAGCCTGTCTACCCTCCCACCCAGTGTGCGCACGCGCACATGCGCGCAAACACACACGCCAAATGCTGGATTGATTGTAGGATTTTTGTTTTATCGCTATCTATTCTCTCCTTCACTTGCCTGGTGTTAGCTTCATTTTCATCCCTTGATATAGCAGCACTTTATTACCTTAAAGTGCCACTGACATCAGTCATTGTTTTTCAGTTATGTCGGTCTATTCATTAAACAGGCAGTGTTGCTGTTCTGTTCACTCTTTTGTTGCATGCCTGCTGCCACACCGCTCATCTTACAGCTATCTCTCAGCTCTGATAGTTACCAGCTACGTCCCTCCAGGTGGTTGCTCTTTAATGTAACCTTGGATTTGACAGATTTGGAGAAATATGCATTTTCTTACTGTGCTCAATGGGCATGGAACAATTGGCAAAAAGATCTTAAAGTAGATACATTTATATCTAACAGCCATGATATGGCTATCGCTCATAACCAGACTCCATAGACAAAAATGCAAATTTTAGCTTGCACTATACAAGTTCATTCAAAGTGGACAGAAACAAAAGTCACCAAAAACCATCTTTTTTAGTATTTCTACTGTTCTAACAATCACCAACTCTGATTTGGTTGAAATAAATCCTTAATTCAGCGACGTTGATGATAAAAACAGCAGTTTCAGTCGCTCTACTCAGCTGCACACGGAGCAGACTGCCTATGGAAACAAACACAGAGAGGCTGCGATAGCAACACAGGCAGAGGGAGAGTGACACCATGACTCCACTATATCTTTACATAGAGACTAGCTGTTGGTGTCTCTCTCTCTCTCTCTCTCTCTCTCTCTGAATCAGAACCTAAAGTATAATAGGGAGTTGTGAAAAGTAAGGTGGCAGCCATGTGACCAACTTCAATGATGATTTCTTTATTGTGCTAAGAAGATCTACACTGAATCTTTAATCTCTAAACAATCAAGTCAACTATTGTAGGTAAGCCTAACTGTGTTTTAGGATGGTAAAAGGTGCTGTGCAAGGTAACAGACGGTTAGCCTGTTTACATTGCAGTGTTGCACGTGTTTTTGGTCACACAGCCACTATTTTGCCTGTGAGAATAAGCTGCTGGCAGGCTCAGTATATTTGAAACATTAAACAGGCTCAGAGGATGTGTTACCCTTCCAACAGGTCCATGGTAGATGTGGTGACCTCAGCGTACAGCACGGTGCGCCCAAGTAGGTTGGTCTTCAGGTTCTTGCTGTAGGTCTCCATACTGAACTGTGCCCAGCTCTGGGACTCTGAAGAGTCGGTGATCAGGGCCAGAGAGCTGTCGGGCAGCGAAGGACCATCCTGGTGCTCAGAACAGGACACCATCCTGAGGGATGCCTTGGGCAATTTCAGGAGGCCATTTTGATCTGCACGTGTGTGAAGCCAAATCAGGAAGCGGGCCTTGGCCTCCTGTGAGGAAGACATAGAAGGACAATAATAGCATCAGTGGTTTCTGATATGTACCCGCCCGCCCGCCCCCACACGCCCGCCCACCCCACACACACACACACACCCACCCACCCACACCACACACACACACACACACACACACACACACACACACACACACACACACACACACACACACACACACACACACACACACACACACACACACACACACACAGGCAGGCAGGCAGTATTGCAAAAACTTTTACAAATGGCTGTGAATGTGCTTCTAGTGACTGTTAAAGCTCCAGCAGACTGTGTTTCCAGCATGGACATTGAAAGTCGGACAGCAGATGCTTATGGCTGGTTAGCTCTGACTACCAGCATTTGTACCCCTACTACAATAAACGGTAGGCAGTCTGTCACTCTGGTCAATGTCACCTCAAGTGTCACACACTCCGTACACAAGGCCACCCCCCCATATGGTTCTCTCTGCTGCAGTTTTTTTATATCTACTGGGTGGGAGGGAGCTAGAAGAAATTAGAGGTTTTGATACACTTCAAATAGTTTTTAGACAAAAATAGAGCTCAATGGCACAGAGGAATATCAAGCTCAATACACTACTCTTACAATACTGTGGGTGTTAAAGATCCAGTGTGTAACATTTAAAAGCATCTATTGGTATTTTTATCCACAAAGGTCCTCTTCCAAGGAGTCTGCCATGTTGAACCGCCATGTTTCTTAGTTCAACACTAGATACCACTGGATCCTACACACTGGTCCTTTAGTTGAACATTTAGTTTTAATTGAATGGATCTTCTAAAACTGCAGTGCAGTGCAGAGTATGAGGACATATCTAAGTGCTCTATGTTTTACTGGGTTTTTATATCAGGCACCAGGACAGTTCATACTGAGAATCAGTTGTCCAAAATAATGGATTTTCCATTTGAAATGAATATGCTGAATGAGTTCATCAGTGTGTGTGGATAATCAATGACATGGTGTAATTAGGCAGCAGTCCCAGTCTGCTCTGTTCCAGTCACTTCCCATTAATCAAGTTTCTCTCTTATGTCCTTACAAACACAAAACACATCGTCTTAATGTGTTTTATTTACTGTGATCTTTGGTGCATATATCTTATTTTGTTATGGACTTCCTTCAACTCTCTTATTGGATCTTATTGTAACTGTATGTATGTGATGTAATTATGTCAACTTTATTGAGCAATTCTGCCTAATATTTACTATATAATGGCTAGTTTATTTGATTTGATTTGACATTAACACTAAGTCATACCCACAAGACACAGAGTAACAGTATATGATTTGTACAGAATGATACTGACATTTAACAGATGGATCATAAAATCAGTTTCAATGAGCCAATGTTCTGTCACAGGATTGGCTAAGCATAACAGGTTGGTCCCAGTGTCAAACATCATTGTAATTCTGATACATGACAAGAATTGTTTCAACTCAACTTACTGTACATAACAGCAGAACCAGTGAAACCATGGCCACACACACACACAACTACCCTGATAGACCTCACTGATTGAATGCATTGTATTCCATAATGTTCCCTACAGTTCCCACTCAAACATTCATTTGAACTTTTCTGTTGAAATTTATGATGAGATTTGAAATTGAACAAAGACAAAAACAGTATCACAATGGTGTGACAAGCCCTGCATATGCTTCCGAAGAAACTCAATCTGCTCATGGTTAGTGTTCATATTGTGAGTAAGTTTTAGATCTAGTCTTTAGTCTCTAATTGTTTGTTTTTTCCCCCCAAAACTAGCACTGGTTAGCATTCTGTTAGCTGGTGATGCTGTAGACATGCATGTCAGGAACTGGGATGAGCAACACAGGGGGTCTTCTACCCCTTCCCGTTAACTCTCTACACCTCTGACTTCAGCTACAAATCAGCCATGCCACCTGCAGACAGAGTTGTTCCAATTCCAATACTGCCTAAAATGTGGTATCGGGTATTGACAAGTATGTGTGTCTCTGCACCGATCATTTCAACGTAATTTATTAGCCGAGAAACAGGACTCTGCTCCTCCCTTTTTTTTTTTTAGAGGTAAATTTGGCCAGGGCATCAGGCTTGATGATCGGTCAAAACATCTGGGCTTCCATAGGAATACTGACTCCACTTTTTGCACATTTTAACTGTAACTAGAAACTATGACCATCCAACAAGCTTTACACAAAACAAGCCTCTGCACTTAAATGAATAAAAAAATGGATTTGGCAAATACTTTCCAGTCCTGACTCTGTTTAACTCAAGAGCCCACTTCTTCCCCAGACAGAGGAAAATGGAGATATGCCACCTCATGGCAGAGAACAGGAACACCCACTGAGCAGTGATGGAAGTCAGCCGCACTAATCACCAGCACACTGACTACATTAGTGTGTGCTGGAGAAGGTTTTCATCACCTGAAGGAGTCCTGCTACTAGATTGACTACAGCAGTGAACTAACCCTTTTCTTTTCCAAAAGGATTCTGATAAATCACAGACGTTAGATTTATTATACATGTGGATATTGCCAGTTGTAGAAACAAAATGATTCTCTATGGATATTTTATATAATCTAATTCCTATGGTCTGCCTTTAGACATTATCTGACCAGACTGTTTATCACCTCCATTTGAATACTGTGAGAGGACAGATCATTTATCTAAAAGCACTGATTAGCAGTAAAAACCGGCTAAAATGGATGCTGTGTTCTATGGACAACAGATCTAATCACTTTTGCTTTTATCATGCTGTGGTTGTTTTACTTTTTATTATGGATATGATAAAACATACATAACTTAATTTTCTGGATTTTCTAAATTTGGTCATATGACCAGAGCGGGACATTTTAAAGTAAAAAATGAGTCAGTTCTCTCTAATGAACAAACTATATCATGGAGACAATCTATGCTGCATTCACATGGATTCAGGCAGACGGACAACACCTTCTGGACAGCACAGGAAAAAACAATAATATGCAATGTCAACAGGGCAAAATAAAACATGCATGACGATATGTTGCTATGGTGATGTTTCAAAGAATGGAATAAAATATATTACAAGAATACAACATAATTGAATTGCTATTTTACAATGTAGGGTTGTATAATGAAATTCAGCCTGTACTTGAAAAAACTAATATATATATACAAAAAATATTAACATGGGCAATTAATTATTGCCCATGTCAGTGTATTTATTGGGCTCTAGATATGAGTCTGTGATATACAGTCCAGCTATGTCATGTGGTTATTACTGTACTGTTTCTTGTTTGTTTTCTGTTTGATTTTTTTTGTTGTTACTTGTTTAAAGGATGTAATATGGGACATGGATAGGTGGTCGTATGTCAAAAATATCTCTGAACATGAGGATCATGTGGGTAATTTCATCAAAATACAGTTATTAAATTCAACTGTTACAACAACACATGGTTGCAACTAACAAATATTTTCATTACACATTAATCTGTGGATTATTTTTAATCATTTGGTCAACTACGTGTTTATGGTCGAGTGTGTAACATTTAGGAGGATCTATTGCCAGAAATGGAATATAATATTCATAGCATTTTCTTTAGTGTATAATTACCTGAAAGTTGTTGTACAGACACCACAAGTCGCCTTCCATGGAATGTTGAACTACAATGTTTCTACAGTAGCCCAGAAGGGACTGGCTCTAGACAGGGGCATTAGCGTTTTTCGTGCGTTTCTCCTTTCGCGCTTGAAAGGGGAGGGTGAAATGAGGGAGTTGCAATCTGCAACTACACCACTATATGCCACTAAATCCTATGCACTGGTCCTTTAAAATAGTTCTCCCGTGGTGACATGCACTTGTTGCTTGTTTTGTCTGACTAACAGTCACTGTAGAGTCACTGTTTCAGCACAACACATCTCATAGTTTTGATTTGCATGAAATGCTTCTCTTTTCTGCCTTTGTACATTTTCAGAAGCCCAAGCTCTCACATACCTCGGCTCGAAACACACTGATTGAAAGGCCTCTCGAGAATATTACTTACATTTGGAGCATGAAGGGAAAGGATCTGTAAAAGTCTATTTATTCAGGTAAAGAGCTTCCAAAGTACAGATCATGAGTACCAATGCCTGACAACGAGCACTCAAAGAAACCAACACCCTCAGGCTTAACCTGATCCACTCAAGACCAGAACATCCTGACAACTTTAGGACTGAATAAAAGCTAATGGAAGCAATCTGAGGTGGTTCACTTGGAGCAGAGAGGCCGTTCTGCAGACATGTTGAGGTCCACAGCTACCAGCTCTCCTCCTCAACCTACACAACAATCTGGAAACAATTCTGCAGCCCCCAATTTCCATCAGCCTGCTGCTTGTTGGGACAAAGTGGCTGGGGCAGTAGGGTCAAAGGTCACACAGTAATCCAAACATACAACAGTGAATACAAAAGCAGCTTCAATACTACTGCTACTTCTACTAATATTATTTTAAATACTGTTTTTATGGGCCCAGGCTCTGTGACCAAAAAGGACACCTTGCTTCACTGATACCAGCCAGTTAAAGGAGCTGCTTCTTAACCTGGAGCTCTGACTCCCCCTAGTGGTTCTTGAGGACATGCATAATCAAAACGGTGGGTTTCTTCCTACTCCATGACGACTGCAACATTTCTGATAAACTCCCTCAGTCTTACTGCAAAGTTACTGCTGCTCCTGTTGTCATTTCCTGACACACCAAGGCAAACATTTTACAGAGGAAATGTCTACAAAGTAAGAACACCTCCTTTTTAGTAAAAAAAAACCCAAAACAAAGTTTTTTAAAATTATGACAATTTAAACCTGGAGGGCTGTTGCGCACTTGTACACCAGTGGTTCCCAACCTTTTTCCTCCCCCAACTGGTTGAGGCAGACGACCACCCACCTAGAGCTGAAGGGTCTGTCCTAGGTTTCTGCCTCTTAAAAGGAAGTTTTTCCTTGCCCCTGTCGCCAAGTGCTTGCTCATGGTGGTACTGCTGGGTCTCTGTAAATGTTATAAGGAGTTCGGTCTAGACCTGCTCTATTTGAAAAGTGTCCTGAGATAACTTCTGTTATGAATTGGCGCTATACAAATAAAATTTAATTGAATTGAACTGAATCAATGGACCTCCTTTATGTCATACACATATGAATATTTCATATTTTATTCAGAACTGTATAATGAACCCAAATAGTGACTGAAAGTTTTTATACAATCCTATGTTTGTATTATGTATTTCTTATCATCTTTAACAATCATACATTCATACTTAATAGGCTTCTTTTTTGATAAATTCAATGTTTTCTTCTCTCTTGGCCATAGCTGTGTTCGTTGTTTGTTTTTGTTTAACTGTGTACTTTTCTAATGCAGGACGAGGCTGTTTATCAGAGACTGAAGGCTCTGTGAATATAGCTTGCATTAAGCTCTTCAAAGTTATCTTAAATAATCTAAAATTCAAAATTATTTATATTATATTTATAAGATTTACATTTTCTTACACCGCTTTACAAGGCCTTGCAATCCCCTGTGAAGCTTTGGGGACCCTTTGTAGGGGTCCCAACCCTACAGCAGTGATCTTCCTGATGGGACTGTTACATTTATTAGTCAAGTTGACCCTGATGGTGTATCTTGTCATTATGAGGATAACAGACTGTAAGAAAAATGTGTGACGCACATTCACAGAAAGGACATTTTAGTGCGATAGAAGCAGAGTCGGCCAATATCAGTATTGGAATATACGTTATCTGATATTCAACAATATAAAACATTTTTTTCCGGTATATAATTCATAAAAAAAATGCTTGTGGTGTCACAGCAGAGGGCACACATCATCACATAGTAAGAGAGAAGAAGCAGCTCTCAGCAATGTCAACTAGGATTTGTTGACAATGTATATGTTCAATGATTTAACATGTTAGAGAATATTTCATATTCTTTATTAAAGTTATTTGGTAGTAGCTCTGCAGAGTCATATTGGTGCGAAATTGGTGAACAATACACGTAGAAAAGGTATATTTTCGTTCCAGCTCAAAAGATTCACTACAATGGTAATCAGCACATTCTGTCAGTCCCATACTGGCTTTAGGTACAAGATACCCTGTGTCCAGAAATTACACTCTTAAATTGAAAACCTTTATATATTTTTTTGATTCTGGATTCTTCCCTGAGGGAGGAGTAGATGGAATTTTAAGAATGTCTAACCTTCTTTTGTGGTAAAACAATATATTATGTTTATTAAATTTTATACATATTAAAACGTGTCTGGAGGGGATCATTAAGTCTTGCACAAGCCTAAAAACCACATTGGTGTATAAACATAACTGCCAAGAATGTTAAGAGACGTTGCATAGTTACAGCCTACACATAGAATAATGATCTCCACACAGAGGTTTACAGACTTTAAATTTGGAAAAAAGAGCATTGTTATCGGATCAGTATTTCGTAGTGTATCATCCCATAAAGAGTGTGATCTGAATCTAGGGAGAAGAAGTCAGAACAGTGCCTTCCTACTTAGCTTGTCACCCAAGTGAGGTAGTGAAGGCACAGTAAATTAGTTCTATACCAGCAATACTACAAGCTAGCGTCTTATATGGCAGTGTTCTTGTCAATTCGACATCAATAAAATTCATAAAGAAACTGTAAAAACAAACCTCTTGCTTTGACAGCCCAACAGCACAAAAGCTATGAACAACATTCACCCTTTCACACACATTCACTCAGTGATGACAAAGTCCATTGAACAGAAACTAACATTCATACACATTCACACACCGACGCACGGCATCGGGAGCAATTTGGGGTTCAGTATCTTGCTCAAGGATACTTCGACATGTGGCACCAGGAGCCGGGGATCGAACCCATAACCTTCCGATTAAGGAACGACCCGCTCTGCCTCTGAGCCACAGCCGCCCTTAAAGAACATTTATTTAGCTACTTTCCAAATAGGATCCTATTATATCTGGTGAGATGTCAATAAAATCAGTTCAATACCAACAGACTGTAATCAGCACTTCTCAATGTAAACTGGACATAATGGATGCTGGATGCATTCTCTGTGCTTATTGTTGGCAGTGCAGCTGCAGAGGAGAGCTGACTATTTTGGGGGTTTTTTTAACTATGAAAATATGAATTCAGTTCAACATATTCTTTGAGCTTTTTATTAATTAGACTGCCTTCAATAGTCCTATCCTCAAGATAAAGTGAACTTCAATGTTTTCTAAAAATCAAACCACATGGTACCCAAAGTGAGCAGCAGTCACTGTGATGGCTGATCGAAGACTGATTTGCTGCCCTCACATGTTAGTATTGGCCCTCTGTACAAAGACATGCAGTAAGCCTGCTCTTATATGCTCATATATTTGCATACGTTTAGGAGGACAGATTGTTTCCACATGTGTGGTATGCATTATATCTGTTTTGCTGCTCATACAATTAACTTAATAAAAACAATCTGGTGCTCACTGTGTGTGTGTGTGTGTGTGTGTGTGTGTGTGTGTGTGTGTGTATGAGTGAATGGATGAATGGTGGTTAGATGATGGATGATGATGATGATGATGGGTGAATGTAAAGATAACACTTTGATTTTCACTACTGTGTTTATTTCTAACTCACTGACTCGAGTCACAGTGCTTATTAGAATACACCGATTTGATTGGATTTGATTGCATTTGTTGTGTGAGTTTCCAGGGCCTCTAAACCAGTTTCTAAAAGGCTAGAAAAGATGCTGTTACAGAACAGAAACGCTCCTTCAAAATTCCCATTCCTAAGTCTAGACCCGGGCCATGGTCCGTCTATTAGTGATCTTAATAGTATCTCAATAGTATCTGGTAAAGCCATCTAAAATTTCGGGATATTATGGTGGCTTTGCGAAGAAATTCCCCTCTCATTTCAGAACGCTTTGTGCGCTTTCTCCATCCCTTCCTGGAGCATGTTTATTTTAAGACAGATAGTGCATCCAAAACACTAATCTGACCATGGAATAAGTGTACATTTACACATGATACTCTATTACATGACTGGTCAAGATTACCACATCTGACTAGACAATGTGAGAAGACTGTGACTAGCACTTGCTTGGTTCCTTGTGACCTTCCCACAGCCTGACAAATGAGCACTGAGTCTTACCTGAGAAGTGGCCAGCAGGTGGACTGGGCCTGGGGCTGGGGTCTGGTTCAGCTCACAAGTGAGGCCAAGAGAGGTGAGGATCTCTGTCAAGACTTCAAAACGCCGTGCATTGCTGACCTTCAGTTCATCGAAAGCTTCTGATGTCAGATTCTGGGAGTCAGGAGCAATTTCCAGGTGGACCTGCAGACAGGGCACAGAGAGTGTCCAGCCAGGGACGGCCCAAACGAGAATAAGCATTTTTCTTTTACAAATATTTACATACATTTAACATTTCAATTCTGCACTTGTGATTTAGACATATCCTTACAATATATTCCAAAGTAATCACACCTAGCATGTGTATGCCCTCCAATAAACTTGAACTTAAACTTAAACTTCCTCTCAGGTTGAACCAGCGCTACAAATCAATTTTCTGACGGGGTCAAACAGCGTTCCTCCTCCCTCTTTAACTCCGTACTTTTACATTAGTCAGTCTGCAGCACCTGTCAGATTTATCACATTTTAAATGGGGCTGCACTTGAATACTTTTAAGCTCATATCTTTTTCAGGCTAGAGTGTCTACGCAGTATTCCAGCCAAGACATATGCTTTAATTAAAACAGAACTAAGATTGAATCGTAAGAAACTGTTTCACCAATATTCAGCCATGTAAAACACTTAATAGTATACAATATAATATAAAGTCATATGTCCCTACCTGACAGAGGACAGCTTCCCCGCCATCCCCTCCATGGGTTACTCTGACTATAACCATGTCCCTCTGATGAGGGATGTCCCCTTTCAGCTCCCCCCAGAGCTCAACTTCCCCTCCTCCCTGAGTGTCCCTGATGTAGACCTTCCCGCTCGCCAACAAGCTCAGTTCCAGTTCTGTGCTGTCCTCCCTGGTGAAGCTCAGCCGGCTGATCTGCCCACGTCTCCTTTCCCTGACTTCCAGACACAGGCCTGCGGGGCACAGGGTGGAGGCTAGCCCCAGTACCCTGCCACCCTGGCTCAGGTAGGTGAGAAAGCGGGTCTGAAGCTGGGGGGTCAGGGTTTCCTCCTCTGCCAGGACCAATAGCCTGGTGTTGTCCAGCCAAGGATCACTCAAAGCCTGCTGTGGTAGGAGGGGATATATTATGTTGTTGTCCATGTTTATACACTCTGATAAAAGCTGACGGACTGCCTGGAAACGCTCCTGGGAACCACCTGTGAACACCAGAACATTTGGCGGTTTGCTATTACAGTCAGATCCAAAAAACCCTTTGGCATCGTGCTCAACTTCGTCCAGAGTCTCATCCCCACTATCCAGCCCCACTGAGTTATCATCAGGAAGGTCTGGAATGTTATCAGCTGAGGCATATTTGACAGAGAGGATGGTACTGTTCTCCAGCTGCAAACATTCGTGGCAGCTGGACAGATGGAGGTGGTGTCCATGGCCCTCCATGTGGTGATGATTCCCTAAGGAATGGTCCTCCAAGTCCAAGGCAGATCCCAGATCCTGGGTGCTGCGGAGCGGCTCTGATCCTCGTCGCTCCTCCAACCTCCTCTTCGCCTCTGGGGTGAGGAGAAGGCTGCCTTTACGGCACTGTAGGTGCTGCTGGTCTACTGACAGGTGACGAGGCGAAGGCGAGGGTGAAGGCTCAGCAACGCCCTCTTCAGTGCCACAGAGCCATAATGACGGCTCAGTCTTCCGTGGACACTTCTTTTCCAAAAGCTCACTGAGAGTGGATTCTTGCAAGAGGACAGCTAAGGGAAGATCAGAAAACAAAATGCACAAAAAATGTATAAATAAATATTTCTGTTAACAAGCCTTTAACAAGCTATAGCTAAGTATAGCTTAGCAGTTGTCTATTTACACAACCAGCATATATAGCATTAGCACTCAACATTTATCAATATTCACTCTCCTTGTATCTCTGGTTTGGTTTTCACCAACTACTGAGGAAAATATCTGGCTCTTTAAAAGCTTTAGTATGTTCACCAGCTAGTTGCTAGCTTTGTCTGTCTGCTGTTTGGTGCTGGTAGCGTACAGTGGGTCTTTCAGAGCTTTATCACTGAAAACAACTGCCTGCTGGAAACAAGGTAAATGACAGTGGAGATCTTTAAAATTAAAGATCCTCTCCAGACATGTATTAACACACACAATCTGACAAGCACTTACTCTCAAATGGTATTTATTTATTTATCAGTAAGCCTAGTATTGACACATTTAACTCTAACTTTTATCCCCCCTTTTTCTACTGATGCAGGTTTATGATGATGTGTCTCAGCTCATTGCAGATAACTGGTCAGTGTTTACGTCCATGTTTTGTGGCACACTTGGCTGTTCTCACCATAGCTGATTTAACTGCCTGTAGTCTATTGACTACACTTTAATACAGTTTTCCTCTCACCATAACAGCCCATATGTAACAGTTTAAATGAAGAAGAATTTCCAGAATATTTGGTCAGTTTAAAGAATTCCCAGGGGTTTCCATGACTGGAAAAGTAGTCTCTAAATTTCCAGATTGTCCAGGATGCATTGGAACCCTAAAGTGAAGGTGAAATTCTTATTTTACTGAAATAACAAAATGCTACTAAAATGAAGTATGTATTGCAAGAGATACATTAACACATAAGTACTGTGTTCAGAGGTGGGGATGTGAAAACAACTGAATATAAAAAGGGCAAATATGAAATGTTATTAAAAGCAACATACGGACTATCTTTGAAGGCACAAGTCCATTCTCCAGATGAAGCCGGTCTTCGATGAAAGCCACCCCCAGCCGACTGAAGTTATCTACAGTGGCCTGAGCCACCGCCCTGAATGGCTGGCCGGGGCTACAGGCCAGAGGAAGACAGTAGTCAGACCACTTCAGCACCTGCACACAACACACACCACTGGTTAGCTGACACTGTTCTGATCCACAGTGTAGAGTTGTCATCATCATCATCATCATCATCATCATCATCATCAGTCTCTCTCAGGTTTGTACAGAGACATGCATGTCTAGGTTCCTCAACCATGAGCACTGTAGTAAAATGTCTTTAGATGCATAGTGTCAAACCTACTAAATTAAAGCAGATTAATTAATGAATATAAAATTGATAACAATGAAAGAAGAATTGTATAGTAAACCATGGGTTCAACCTTTTTCTGTATAGGACCCATCTTTTATCATTGCCTAAACTGACATCAGTGCCATATTTTATAGAGTTTGTGTAAAAGGACCGATTTGTATGAATTTTGAGCAGATTATTTCCTGATATTGATTAGAGATTCATTTACCTAATATTTTAGCAACTTTTTACACAATTATCTGTCTGTATTCTGTTTTTTTTGTATACATATTTGCAATCATACACACTTAATAGGCTTTTTTTATCTCTCTCATTGCTCTATTGGCTCTTTGGTTAATGCTGGACGAGGCTGTTTATTAGAGTTAAAGCTCTGTGAATATAGCTTTTTAGTTTAGCTCTTCAATAATAATCTAAATAATAAAAAAAAAATGACTTAATTTAGTTTCCCTTAAATAATTGAACAAAATGCTGACATATAGGCCTACTGTGTACATTTATAATATTATAATTATTATGTCTAGTAATTGACAACATTTCAAAGTAATCTGACCAAAAACACTGACTACTGAGGGATAATAGACAATAATTTGTATTGAACTACAGTACAATATATTATATTGTGCAAACAAGAAATGGTACAAGGGGTGCAGTGAGGGATTTAAATTAAACAGATTTTGGAAAACGAATGACAACTTCAAATATTAAATCTTAACAAAAGGCTAGTAAAAATGCTTTCAATTGATTCTTTCATTTAAACTAGTCACAAATCATCATTCACAAATTTTCTGAGCTCTCACAGCACAATCTACGTCTCACATTTCTCCAGCTGTTGGTAGCTCTTTCTGGGCTTGTATTTATCCGGTGTCTCAGAATTCCTTATGGATATATCAAATACTATAGAATAGAATATAATATAATAGAAATAGAAAATACTTTATTTATCCTTGAAGGGAAATTATAATAAATGAAAATAGGACTCTGACTTTTTGGGCAAGTGTTAGTGTTACTGCCTGTGTTTTAGGATTTGCTGTCGATAGGTGGGTGGCTGTCTGCCTCGACCAGTTGGTGTTTGTGAGAGACAGACAGAGAGAGAGACAGAGAGAGAGAGTGCAGGAGAAATAAAGACCACTATACTCTTTTCCATCAGGTGGAAATACCTCCAGTTCCAGTCCTCCATTAACAATGACACATTAATTCATCTGGGCACCCTGGTGGTCATAATGTTATGCAGCCCTGTGTGTTCTGACCCCTTTCTATCAGAACCAGCATTAACTGTTTCAGCAGTTTGCATCAATGAGCCTTGGCCCCCCATGACCCTGTCTCCAGTTCTTCTCCTTCCTTGGAGCCCTTTTGATAGGTACTGACCTCTGCAGACTGGGAACACCCCACAATTGCTGCAGTTTTGGAGAAGCTCTGACCCAGTCATCTAGCCATCACAATTTGGCCCTTGTTGCTGCCCATTTTTCCTGCTTCTAACATCAACTTTGAGGACAAGATGTTCACTTGCTGTCTGATATATCCCACTTACTGACAGGTGCCATCATAACCAGATAATAAGTGTTATTCACAATCTTATGGCTGGTGCTATGGTGTAGCTGGAGAGCTAGCTAGTCTTGCTGTTTAACATACTGTCAAATTAAATTTACTGTTTGTCAACCATACGCAGTGTTATTTACTTTGACTCTTGCTAGTATGACGTTAGTTCTCTGGCTTGAAGCTGAGCTAAATGCTTCTGCACGCTGAATGGTTTTGGCCTCTGCGTCGTCCATTAATTCTTGATAATGGACACATCGTCAGGCGTTATCCCTTACATATATTATGTTTCATAGAGGTTTTGTTCATTAATTCCAGAAAAATTATCTACAGCATTTAGAAAGTTTACTCTCAGGAAAAGTGACACTGAAGAGCGCACTGACTTCATATAAAGTTGACAGTCACACAATTAGCCTAACACACCCAATGTAAAAATGAACACATTATTCCTCAGCAGCACAATAGTGTCAATAGCTAGCAGTTAAAAGCTGCTTGTACTATGAAGTACAAGCAGAGCTTGGTGACTAAACAAAAACATACATGTACATGTAAAATTCACCAAACAACATACATAGAATTCCACTGCAAACCACACCAACAGTTCCCCTGCTGTCCTTTTAAAATCGACTGATTGAACTGGAGATGATTGTACATTCCTCCGCATTGGTGGCTAGCAGTGATCATTCTGTAAATGTCTAAAAATTTGCGGTTGCCACGTTACAGAATGTTTCATTCCAACTGGTACGCATATAAATGATATGCCATTTACAGGTAATACACTGTATGTATGCCAAAATTATGTCATGGTACTAATGCATATGCCTTTTCCAATTTTTTTTATAAAAAAAAAAATAAAAATACATTTTAAAATGTAATTAAATATATGCATAAAGTTCTCAAATCGCAATAACAGTTTAAACATTCTGTTACAATAAAAGTATAAGGATTTATTTAGTAAAAGTACAAAAGTATTCAAATCAAAATATACTCAAATATTGATGTATATGCTATTATTGGATTATAATTATTGCTACATTAAGGTGTTGATCACTTTAATGTTGCAGCTGTAGCTCAGTTTTTAATTTTTATTGCAAATGTATATCGGTTCCAAATATCGGTAATCTGTTTCCTCCATTTCTAATAACTGGCCCTGAAAAAAACACATCGGTCGATGCCTATTTTCCATCAAATGTTTCTTAGACTGCACAATTAATTTAAATATGAATGCGTTCATGAGATTAGGGAATAAAGAACTTGGGAAAATCACGCCAAAGTATGTGTGCTAGAAACCAGCTTTGCTACATTAGAATGATTTCTCTGAGAAGATTACTTGGTAAGCAATGTGTGGTGCCTACTTTTTTATTCGATGTGTGAGGAAAATGGCAGCCCACTCTGTGTCCTGTAGATTCAATGATGAATGAAATATTCTCTATTCGTGGGCCACAAACCAGAGAAGACCCCAACAGCACAGTCCATTTGCTGAGGTCCTCACATGCCTGGGGACAATACAGACAGAACAGAAAATAACTCCAACACTACAAGGCTGATAGATTAGCAGTTAGTCATCAAATGCTTTGATCAGAGGAACAGAATGACATTTAGTCGTGCAGAAACTGTGTAGAAGGAGGGTTACCATAGACAGTGACAGTGACATCCGTATTGTGATATCAGTAACAAAACTACACACAGCAAAAGAGTTTTCAGTATTTGTTGCTCTGGGCCAAGGGTTTAACTGATCAAGTCTCAAATCCAGCTGAGCCTTCAATCAGTGAACTCTCAGATAGTTCTGGGCAGTATGACCAAAAATGTAACCTTTTTGTAAAGGTTTAGGAAACAAATAGTCACAAATGATTGTGTGCCATGGTGTTTTGTCCTGTTAAAGAGAGTTAGTTGTGAGTTATTAGTTGTTAGAAAGTTATAACTGTTAGAAAGACGGGTACACACTTAATAGGGCTACCCTCTCAATAATGCTACACACCGACTGTAGTGCTCTTCTCAGCAAAAAGAATATGGCTGCCTATTAGATTAGATTAGATTAGTTTCAACTTGACTGTCATTGCACAAGTACAAGTACTAGACAAGGAAATGCAGTTAAGCATATATCCAGAAGTGCAAAGCAGTAAAGTACAGAGTAATGTGCATATTTACAGGGATATATTTAAATAATAATAATAATAATAATAATAATGGTATGGAGGTATATGAAAAATTCATATCTCATGGCAAATTAAAACCTGTATACTGGTTCATCCAGTATATCGCCCACCACTAGTCTCAGACATGTCTAAAAAATTAGTCGAGTCTGACTAGATTCTTGAGCATACATCTCTGACATAAACCTTTATGTTATTGGCAAGATGCAGTACCAACATAACAGTACTATTTTTCTTACCTTTTTAACTGGTGACACTGTTGTATATGGCTGTAGCAATAAAAAAGCCAGAGTGTACTGAATAAGGGCACATTTCTGTTGCTTGTTGCTTATTGCTTATTAATTAAACCTTTCAAATGCTAGTCTCCGTTTTAAAAGTGCCCAATGAAATAATTTACAATATCTTACATCCTTTTTGTGTACTTAAAAAATCTGCATGTGAAATTCAACTTTGGAAATATAGAGGAGATCTGTAGCTTTAGAAAAACTGACAATATTTAAATAATCTGTGCAATGACTCAATGGTAAATGGACCTTTCTAGTCTTCCAACCACTCAAAGCGATTTTTACACTACGCAAAGCCCATCGAACAGAAACTAATGCAGTCATACACATTCACATACTGATTCGGGATTCAGTATTTTGCTCGAGGATACTTTGACATGTGGCACCAGGAGCTGGCAATCGAACTTACAACCTTCTGATTGGGGGACAACCCGCTCTGCCTCTGCGCCACAGCCGCCCGCCTCAATGAACAGACAGATGAGCAAAAGCCTAAGAAATAAGACAGCAACAACTTCCTACAGAAGTTGTGGACAAGTAAGGATGGTCCCACAGAAAAGGTTAGGAAGTTAACCAGTAGTACATTTACCAACCTTAAGTTAGATCTCCTTCAGACATGTATTAACACACACACACACACACACACATATATATATATATATATATATATAGATATAGGCTAGTCTAATAATAAAAGTAAGTAGTAATAGTTTTTCCACGAAAAAAGTATAATTTCAACATTAAAATCCTTAAAAAGTCATCTTTTCCTTCTATCTCATTAAAACTTCCAGAATCTCTGAATATACAAATGCTGTTAATTAATAAAGTTTTGCTGCTGGACACAAGATGTCTCCTACTTCACTGTAAAGTCCGTTCTCAGTGGATGTGCACTGCTGGCTTCAAGTTTCTACATCACACTGTACAAATTGATACTGGACCAGGATGGACTTCCTAACTATTGGTGATGTCACAGATCATGCTGCCCCCCCCGCCCTTATAATCTGATTTTCAATGAGCACAGAGAAACTTTCTCTTTCAGCAGATGAATGTGAAAACATCCTTCTAGTGTCAAACTCTGCACAGACAGCATTCAAACATCACACTGTAGGGACAAGAAGAACAACAAATGTTGGACTGAAAGGGGAACTTTAATTCTATACAGCATTGACAGTCTTTTTTTGGAATGTCCCCATTGTGGGACAAATAAAGGAATATCTTATCTTATCTTATCTTTTCTCTTGTAAAACCAAAAGCTAATAAGACGAAACAGACTCGGTCAAACCTGTTTCTGCTCCATCTATGTCATTAACTGTATATACATTTTAAAGCCATATACAGCTCTGTGGGACAGTCTCCAGACAGCTCTGGTTCTGGACAGTAGCTTAAAGAGAACCAGTTGTGCAGCTCAATGAGGAGTAAACAAGGCTGTGACAGGCCCAGACAGTATCCACTCACCACACTGTATGAATGACATTAAACTGTTAACTAACTGTTATCCAACCTGAGGCTCTGTTACATAGACGGCCTTGTCTCCCAGCTGGAGGAAGACGACGTCCTCGGGTGGGAGAGGGCTGGGCTGCCGGCTGCGTCCGGCTGTGCGTCCGGCTGTGCGTCCAGCCGGCGGAGCTCTGGCTGGTGCTGAGGCCGAGCCGGAGCAAACACTGAAGCTGAAGCCGAAGCTGCTGCTGTTCAGTCTGGACAGACTGTTGCGGATCAGCACCGAGTAGCACTTGTGAAAGCGCACCCACAGGTAGACGTAGCACAGAGTTATTAACATCTTAGCCAGCGTACGCGAACGGGGCCATAGTGGTTGTTCTGGCCATGTACATTGACACTGCTCACAGCGGTCACAACGCTAACTGTCACACTGTAAAGCTAACTGCTACGTTCTTCTACTAATGGCGGTTGGCAAACTAGCTTGTAGGTGCATTACCGCCACCTGCGGGACTGGAGTGTGGCGTAGTAGATTAGCAGGAAATGTTTTATTTTTCAAGCCAGTTGATAAAATATAATGTCTAAAAAAATATGTACATCATTTGGAAAAAACATGACAGTTGTCCAGGAAAATTGATCCTGTACACCATGGTGGGGGGGCTGGGGGTGCTGCAGCACCCCCTTGTGGCGAGATGGAGATTTAAAAAAATATATAAAAAATATTTTACACAATTTATAAATTCCTCATGAATATTTTGGGAAATGATTTTGACACACGTAGGCTATTACGTGTATTTTGGATTTTAATTTAATTATTTTGAGGCCTAATCAACACAGGTTCACGGAAGTTACGTTGTCAACGTCAGGCAGGCTAGTGGTCGCTGAGTAAAGAGGTTCTCAAGCAGCTTGCCGATGTCACAAAAGACAGAGGGTCTAAGTGTGTCACAGTCCAAGATGTAGCATCATGTTTGACAAAGCTCCAACCACAAACTAGAGCCATGTTTTCAGAGACAGAAAAACTGATCGAGTTATGTCTGTGCCTACCCATCTCCGTGGCCTCATCCGAGCGCACTGTCTCCGCCTTGCGTCTTTTGAGGACATGGGTACACAGCACCATGACCCAGAAAAGACTCACACACCTTTCGCTGATGCATGCCCACACAGACATTCTGAACTCCCTGGACATTCGTCCCCTCATGAGAGACTTTATCTCCGCGACCCCAGAGCGCACTTCAACATTTGGACACCTGTAACCAGGGCACCCTGTCTGTAGCTCAAAGTAAGAGCATAGTGCCAATGCTCACTTTCATATCTATTCATGCAGTTTAACGTTACACTGTAGTATTTTTGCAAGGTGGTGGGGATGGAGATGGAGAACGTTATTTTGATCGTGTGTTCTTTGTGTAACGGATGTGGAGAACATTTCAATAACGTTTAAATAGTCAGAGATTATTTCCTTGTGGTGTGAGTAAAAGGATTTTGGAGCTAATCGCGTGTGACATAAACGTAGATGGTGCAGTGACTCAGGTTCATGCCAGCTGACCAAATCAAATAAATTAATTAATAGCGCATATATTCATCTGAGAACTGATGATGTCCCTGTGTTACAGACCCTGGCTGTGTGCACTGAGGTGTATATGACAATAAAGTAATGAATCTCAATCTATTTATTTATTTTTAAAATGTATTTTAAATCGGCCTATAGGCTCAAAGGTTTTTTGTTTTCACAGCACCCCCTGTTCAAAATTACTTCCAGCGGCCCTGCTTACGGTACAGCCTACATCTTATTTTGGAATTAATTATTTTCCAACTGTCTTTACCATTCTCAAACCAAACCACGTGTTCACAGAATTCATGTTTAGCTAACTTACATGGCAGTATTTTCCCAGTAATATATCTTTGCTCTAATCCAGTCAGAGAGGCTGAGGGGAAATGCTACAAAGGTATTTTAAAAGATTCTGGGCTTTTGAGGAAAAAAAAGATGTAATAAATATATGAGGGAATTCAATTATTATTTCAGGAGAAATTTTGGATAGACAGCTTGTCTTCTCTTGGTAGCCAGGTTTGTTCACTGTGGTCGGTGGTTGAGTCTGTGTGATTCGGAATCACTTATCCTCAACTCATCCCCCTGAATCTCTGCATGGGAGAATTTGGAGAAATATTCATGGGGTGGCAGAAAATCATAGACAATCACATACAGTGTATCAATAGTTGTTAAATAATTAATTAACGGCCTAACTTCCCAATTCAGGACTACATAGTTTACAGTCTTTTATAATGTTTTCACTTTTCAGCAATTATTTTCAAACATATAGCCTAAAATGTGTTTAGAAAGAAAGCTATACATTTCATTTGCACAGACTTTAAGCCTCCGTTTAAAATGTGGCAGATCATTAAATGAATTCCCGTCCCGTTATTTTCAAACGAATCTAAACTGATGTGTTACATTTGATAGTCTTTGACAGCAAACTGGGGTGGTAGCTGCCAACATGCCACCCCTCTAGATCCACACCTGGGCCTTGGCCTCCTTACATTACAGTATTTTGTACCGTCCTCCAACTTTACGTGTGTTATGACAGAAGTTGATGAAAAAATCGCTGCAGAAGCGCGACCTCTCGTGGATTGTTGTGTGTACTCATGTAGATGGGGGATGATGGGGTGATGTTTTTACGACAGTTCAGATCGGAAGTCAACCTAGGATGCCGGTGTATCTGCGGACCTCAACATGGGCTCTCGTCACGCTGGAGTTTCTCTGCAGGAGGAGACCGCTCGTCCTCCGGTCCAGCAAGGCAGCATATCACTCACACTGCAGTAGTTTTTTCCAGAAAAAAGGACCGTTTAGCCGTGTGCTAACCCCGTTCACACCACCGGGAACAGCCACCGACGTTACTTCCAGACTCCGTTCCATTTGTGACGTTCCGGTGTGCAGAAGAATAAGCATGTCGTCCACCGAGATGTCCCAGAGAATGGTTTGGGTGGACCTGGAGGCAAGTCATGGGGCTAAAACCGGCATGTAACGTTAGCTGTGTAACGTTAGTTATCTTAACGCCAACGTTGCTGTATGTGTGTGTGGTAACGTTAGCTACTGCTAACCAGAGGTAGCTAATGATGCGACTATTCAGCCGCTAAGCTAAGGTAACGTTATAATGTTAAATAACTGCCACATGTGGAAACAGGTAACGTTATACAGCATGTGGCAGTAGTTGGGGACTGTAAGTGACAGTAAGGTTGAGCTAATAATGAAGGGAAACCACAAAATGTAACTACGTAGCAGGTTTATTTAGAGTTATAAGAGACGTGCAGGCAAAAAACCAGACACAAAACAACTGACATGAATATGTTGTTTTGAATTAGCAACCGGACTTCCTGTGGCTCACTAAGCTGTCAGTTCACTGAGTAAAACAGGCGGGCGAGCTAGTACATGCTAGCTAGCTTACCAAAGTTGGACATGACTCAGGCTGAGCTCAAAGAAAATAAAAAAGAACGAAGGGTCTTTACATCATAACACCAACATTAATTATTCACATTATAACGTTACAACTTTTCATTACGCCAACATTCTAATGCTTTTTGTGCCAGACTTTGGTTCAAGTTCTATTGAAGCCTATGGGAGAAGCACAATAAAACCCAACATATTTACGTTGAACTTTGATGAAGAGATGCCTCTACCAAATAAAAGAACCACTTCAGAGAATAGATTTGTCTAAATGTGCGCATTCATTTATTTGCTAATAGTCTGCAAATAGTATCCAAAGATGATTTTAGGCACTACAGGGCTGAAGTCTAATTAAGTAAAATGCTTACCATGGCGAATCAGCCTATGTTGTTATAGAGCTACAAGCTTGTTTATATTGTGCTCATGCACAATTAAATGGCAGAAATGGAATATAATATATGCATAGGTATGTTTTAGTGTGTAATATAATAAATAAGAAGAAAATAAGAATTGTTGTATTGTTACCTTACAGTTAGCTGTCTCCTAACTACGTTTCATTAGGAGTCATTAATAACACCATTAATATAAGCGCATTATGTTTAATTTGGTAAATAGTTGGGCAACCATGTACAGCATAGTGCTGTTAGAAACTGAGTGAAATAAGCTGATAATTAACCTGATCAGCCAGTGTCAGTAATCAATACAACTATTAAACTATTAATCTATCTAATAACTAACATCGGTCAATGACAACTGTATTCTGTACAGCCTTTACATTTTGTCGCCTCAGCTCATTCAACCTCCGTAGTAGCTCTCTCAGTGTGAGAAGACCGTGGGAATAAGAGGTAGACCATTTCAATAATTCCTTAGGTTTTTCACTAAAATAAGAGCTGGTTGGTGGATCAGATACACACTGAATTGAACACCGACTCACAACACTGTTTATTCACCATCCATTTCTGTGTGTGTATTTTAGGAATTTTTCTTCCGGCTGACTACCAAGTTTGCGGCTTTCTTTCTGGTGCCAGAGAGAGAGGCTGTCTGCTCTCCCTGGCTGTAGCTCACTGCATGGCTCCCTGAGTCTGTGACATGACGAGATATTCAGCCTGCTAGATATTTATCTGGCGTTACGCTACTTGTATTTGTTTACTGCAGTTGGAAGCAACATTGGCTGTGTTCACACGCAGGCAAAAGTGGCCAAGGTCAGAGTTTTTGCTCATATCTGTCTCATGCAGCGTCAACAGCACAAACCACAGGGAACCTGATCTTTTCCAGTTCTGATTTGGGCTACTTTCATATGTGCTACAGATACAGGTCTAATTTTCTGTAATGTGACCTCGGTGAGAACAGTCAACAGAATTCATGTGACTTTCACGTCAATCTAGATCCACATTCGTCACAACTTTGTGCTGCCAAGAGTCACTAATTTAATATTTGTTGTTTTTTCATGCCTGCTTGTAAAAATATCTTAATGGCTCAGTTTCCGTGGTCTGGATGATGCTGCCTCCATGAAAACATACTAGATGCAGGCCTGCTCATACAAAATACTACTTATGTTCAAATGTTATTCTGATTGACTCTGGTTGATGCTGTTGTGTACCCATCAACGCTGTTTGGAAGTAAGTAGTAAACTGATGTACATGTTAGTGATCTAACTAAGTCCCTGTGTGTTTTTTAGATGACAGGTCTGGACATTGAGAAGGACCAGATCATTGAGATGGCATGCATTATCACAGACTCTGACCTGAACGTTTTGGCAGAGGTAATATAAACATCAACACCATTAGGCTGCCTCTTGTTTACTATCTGTCTTGTGAATTAAAACTCATCTGGTCTCGGTTGGCAGGGGCCCAACTTGATAATTAAGCAGCCGGACCAGCTGCTGGAAGGCATGTCAGAGTGGTGTAAAGAGCATCATGGAAAGGTAAGCTGTGTTTGTGGTCAGGGGCTTGGAAAGCCTTTTGCAATTTTGGCCACACCCCAGTCAGTGATGTCAAATGAAAGCATTCTGCCCGTGACAACTGACAAACAGCACAGAGCAGGGCTACACAGTCCCAACGAGGGATTGTTTAGTTTGTCTGACAGTGAACTTTTTGTCATATTTGCAGAAACTTTTGACTTTATCAGGACAGATCATCTGCGATAAATCTGGCTCCTCCTAGTACCCCTAATGGCATTTGCAAGAATTCGCTGGGCCTGAACAAAAACAACCAATCAGAGGCGAGAAAGATGGCAATTATTGAGTCTCATTCACAGAGTCACGAAGCATCTGTATTTGACACCTTCGGAATGAGACTCAATAATCACTATCTTTCTCGCCTCTAATTGGCTGTTTTCCTTCAGGCCTAGCGAATTCTCAACAATAAACCTTACATAAATCTTCAAATCTCCAACCCTTTATAACTGCTCACCTCTGAGTGGTTTTTCGTCCAGGCCCGGTGGATTCTTACAAGTTCCATTAGGAGCACTAGGAGGAGCCAGAGGAACGTAGCAGAACTTACAGATTATGTGTGTCATGTACTACTGAACTTTTAGCAAATATGACAAAAAGTTGTTTTCATAAAAGTTACCTACTGCAGCTTTAAAACAAATACTGCATGTTTGAATTTTCATTGTGACAGTAAAATGTAACACATCACTTATTAGACATGTGACCTTTGAATGACAATATCATGATATGAGAATTTGTCCTTATATGACGTAGGGAGAGATAACATTGAATTATTTTGATATCAGCTTTGCTCTCTGTATATCGGCATCAGGCATTGAAAATCCCATATCGGTTGACCACTAGCTTTGTTGATGTCATACGCTCACATGGATTTACTTGTGTGCAGACGGATGTCCCCATACTCATCCCTCCCAACGGTTTAACATTATTCCACTTATCAACTGATGGCTTTCAAATACTAATAGAAAAATTCAGCTTTATAGAACTAGGTTCTATTTGTGGAGGAAGCTGACCGGGGGAGTTGGGTCTCCAAGATTGACAGTGTTGTGTTAAGATCATAGATCATGACTAACTTATCAGCGTTCCTTGAATGCATCCGTTTTAGACAAATTAGTTCAGAGGTGTTTATGATATTAACCATTCATGGGATTTATTCCATTCAAGAATTTGACCAGCCTCATCAGTGGGGAAAAGCCAAGAGAAAAGTCCGTTGTTATTGTGTTTGACTGAGAGAGAGAGCAAATCAATGCAGCTCTACAATTAAATAATATTTTACCCATTTTAAATAGTAAAAAAAAAAGATGTGGTCAATGTTGGTATTTTGGCTGGCTACCATAAATAAATGACTATATGTGAAACAGATTCCACATATTTGTTAGACCTCCAGTACATACACTGGGCCTAATGCAACAACATTCTCTTTAATTCTTTTAAATCTGCTGATTGTTTGTTATTAGCATAATAGGTGGTGTGCCATGTGCAAAAATAATCAATGACGCAATAATATTTCTTTAGCCCACAAATTTAATAATCCAATCACTATAATTACTCTAAAGCATATAATCTAATCTGGTTATATGATATTTATGCCTTTTTTTTTTACGTTGGTAACATTTGAAACCTATGTTTCTTTTTGTTGGACAAACAATTTGAGGACTGAAAAAAATGAGTTTTGTCCTTATCTTGGTCAGAGTGCTCTCAACCACTCGTAAAGTGTTCTCTTACCTAAGAGAAGAGCAAAATAAGAACACATTGGTGAATTGAATTCTGGGATTCTGAAATCATTGATTTGTTAAAAAGAAAATTAGTTGTTTATATCACTCCTTGCATGAGGCCCAATGTGTTTTGCAGAGTGAACGTAACATTTTCTTCTTCACATGAAAACCCCACAGGGCACCTTTTAACATACAGACATGAGCGTGGTATCGATCTCATGTCGTCACTCTTGGGAAGAAACAGAATAAGTATATTTCGCAAACTGGCATTCTTTTAAAGTAGTATGTAAAAGAATGCGTCTATTGATAGTGTTTAGAGATCCATATCGTCTGTATTATTGTATCTCAGTCAGGACTGACCCAGGCTGTACGGGACAGCAAAATCACCCTGGAACAAGCAGAGTACGAGTTCCTGTCCTTTGTCAGACAGCACACCCCGCCTGGACAGTGTCCACTTGCTGGTGAGTTCATTTTTAGAAGCAGCAGCAGAACTGTGATGTTGCTCTGATGATTTGGCTACTGCTGCAGTCACGTCCTATGATTCTTCTTCCTGCAGGTAACTCTGTGCATGCAGACAAGAGGTTCCTGGACAAGTACATGCCACAGTTTATGTATCACCTTCACTACAGAATCATTGATGTCAGCACCATAAAGGAGCTTTGTAGGTTAGTGTCTGAGACTTTGTTAGATTTGGCTTTCATTGTAATGAGGCCTTTTTCTGTTTTGTTCAAATGAGATTGTATCAGTGTATCTGAATAAGCATTTGAATATTTTCCACATTTTCTCTCCCTGTCTTCCGGAGTTATAGCCATGATATGGAAACTCTTCTATAAACACAATCTTTTGTAATTAGATTTTTTCCCCAGTCTATTTGGCCTGCCTAATAGATACTTTCCATTATCTCATAAGGACCTTGTTGTTTATGCAATCCCCACTAATGGTCCTCTCTGCCATTCATCAGTTTGCATGTCCAAGGCCCAGTTTTATTATTGCATTGCTGAGTAGGTTTTGTAACTCAGTGAGTAGAGTATCTCTACGTAGCAGTAATACAGAAGAAATAAAAGCTAGCATGGCATTCTCTTCATCCCCAAAAGGGGATTAATGTGGGATGACATTTGTTCTACAAAAACTTTCAGACGGTGGTTTCCAGAGGTATACAAGATGGTTCCTCACAAGAAAGCATCCCACAGGTAAAAACAATCTACATAGTGCTGTAAATTGACAATTGTTTGGGATGATTCTGGTGTATTTCAACTGACATATTAGCCCGCAATTACACCAGACATGGCTTTATGGCATCGTGTCTTATCCCACCGAGAGCGTTTGGAAGCAGAGCGTCTTCAGAGAGTCTTACTGCCTGATAGGGCTGGGCGATAAATTAGGGCTGGGCGATATGGACCAAAAGTCATATCCCGATATATTTAGGCTGAATATCGATATACAATATATATCCCAATATTTTTTCCGCAAAGTGAGAGCAAATGTTCAGTCAAAGTCAAATATGACATGTCACAAGTAGTTTTATTGAAACCGGCTATTTCAGTGAACAGTTGCAAAATCAAATAAATAAATAATAAACAGGTTTCTTCACCTGGTTCATGATTAAATGCTCAGCTGTTCAAATAACAATAAAATGTAAACATAAATACTGTATAACAACAGTGTACCTTTTTTAAATCAAAGCTCTATAAGGTTTACATTTAAATAAAAAAATATCTTAAATAAAAATAGCCTATAAAATAAAATAGGCCAATCTTTTTCTGAAAAAAATATATTTATATGAGAAAAGTACAATATCAACATTTTTTTAGTTTGACAACTATAAATGGCTTATTAAAATCAAATTACTGATTTTCTTCTCCTTTCTAACAAATCCACAGATGCAAATAACAAACATTACAAAATAATAAAATATGACAAACCCTAGTAAGGGCAGCATTTATATATAAAGAAAGAACAAAATAAAGTGCTCAGTTTAAGAAAACATTTTTTATCAGCTTGAGATTACCTTTTCCTTTTTGTTAACTCAATTTCTTATCTGAACAGTCTCAACCAGTTGCACAAGAAACAGACTATCAACTCAAACATTTTCCCACCACTTGTCACTTTTCTTTTCATAAGGCACACTGCGGGAAAATGAAGTTTGCAGTGAGCTTTGTTTTGGGGCTGGAGCTTTTTCGGGTTGTGGATGGCTTGCGGCTGGGGCTTCTGCGGCGCACAGTTTCACACACTCTTCGTATTGCAGTTTGTGCCACTGTTTTAGGTGGTGAAAACGATTTGTAGTGCTTCCACCCCTGGCTGTAACTTGTTTATGGCACTCCCTACATATAATGTGATTTTGTTGCTCATCTGACACTTTGAATCCGAACCATCTCCAAATTACTAAGCCACTGCTTTTTCTTTTACTAACCAATTCCTCCTCCGCACGCTCCGCAGATGTTGCTTCCTCCATGTTTGTTGAAGAGTGGCTGAGTGTCTGTTCCTGCCCCTCCCCCCTCTGTGCATGAAAGAGGAGGGGCGGTGGCGGGGCGCAGTGAGCAGTGCAGAGAGCTCTGGGTCAGCAGCTTGCTTGGAGCAAGGATCACAGCGCAAATTTGAACTGTATCGATATATGTGATATGGTCTAATTCCATATCACATTTAAAAATATATCGATATATTTTTTATATTGATATATCGCCCAGCCCTACGATAAATCGATTTGATCGATTAATTCAAATTTCCCGTAGGTCAGAGTGCACTCACCCCTCCCCCCGCCCCCCGCCTCTCCACAGATGCACACAACATGACAGCAAGCCAGGATGAGCTCGTCCCCAAAAAAGGCACAGTGTCGTCGGTTGTTTGGAACTAGTTTGGTTTTGTGGCGTCCAACAGCGAACAAACCACGACCCACTGCAAAGTTTGTTTGAAAGCTGTTGCAACCAAAGGTAGCAGTACGACCAATTTATTCCAGCACCTCAAGCAAAGGCATGCAGCCGAGTTGGAGAAATGTTGCTCTCTGCGAGATATACAGGACTGCAGCCCTCATTTGTAATGTGTTTTTAAGAAGGAAAAAATACATTTGGTGTGAAAAAATCGGAGATTTTATTTTTAAGCCATATCGCCTAGCCCTACTGCCCGACATTGTTTACTGTCGGGCTGAAGGTGTGTTTCAGCCTTCAGCCTGACTGATTGACTTCAGGCCTAGTGCCATAATGTTGATGTAGGGGGAAATTCGATCCGGAGTCAGCAAAGGATATTTTATGTCTGTCTGTTCTGTATCTGACTTCTTGCTTATACGATCTGAATAGTCACAGCACAGCGGGTTGTGGGTTACTTTTGTCGCTTTTATCTTTGTTGCTGTCAGTTATGATTTACACTGTATTCACCAAATTAACTGCTGAGATCTTTGAGCATGGTTACATTCCAAACATCTAACCAAAGTAATGTTACATCACATACAGCTGGAGTAATACACAGTTTTCAACTACCTAGCTCTTAGCTCATCTCTTGTTGTCCCATCCCTCTCAGGTATGTTAGGTATGCGAGCAGTGTAAAAATTCCACACAGAGTTATTATTTTATATAATTATTTAAACATTAGTTATTTAAAAGTAACTATTAGCTGGTCAGAGCTAGGGCTGCTCAACTATGGAAAAAATCATAATCACGATTATTTGGGTCAAAATTGAAATAACGATTATTCAAACGATTATTTTTTTAAACTTCAGAAACATGCTGCATTTATTTGACATTTGTCAAAAACACTTCCCCATAAACATTTGCAAGTCTCCTTTTTACATTGACAGTCATAGTGTACATAGTGCAATCTCTACAAAAAGTGAAATTAAATAAAATAACACAGAAGATAAGCCATAGAAAAACAATTTGTGTTCTCAAATTTTAGTGCACTGCCACAACATTTGAAATTACCTGTTACTGTTACGCGTTACCTGTTCTAATGAAAACAACGTGACTGACTCGTGAAATACGCAGACTGTGGCTGTGTCCCACTTCAGGGGCTGCATCCCTGAATTGGGACACAGCTTTTTCCTATACAACGTTGCAACAACAGAAAATGAAAAAAAAATTGTTTCCCCCCGATTCTATTAGTTTTGAGATCGTTTGGCCCCAAAATCGTAATCATGATAAAATTTCGATTAATTGAGCAGCCTTAGTCAGGGATTCATCATTCAGTTTCAGGGCCTTCAGAACATTCTCTTAACACTGACTGATGAAGAGGTCACGTCACATTGTTAACTAACGTTAGAGGCTATCAGTAACATTTAGGCAGTGTGGTTGCTAAGTTAATAGCCTACCACAAGTGTATGAAGTAAACACGTAAACTAATTTAACCAGTAAATGTTATTTTCATCCTTATTGAGATATGAATATTGTTTGACATGCAATGAATAAAAAATTTATTTAGTGATTGGAACAGAAACACGGTTTTAAACCGGGGCTGGAAGTCACACTGCTGATTGCATATAAAGTTATATACCGTATTTTCTGGACTATAAGTCGCTCCGGAGTATAAGTCGCATCAGTCAAAAAATGCCTCATGAAGAGGAAAAAACCATATATAAGTCGCACCGGACTATAAGTCGCATTTATTTAGAAATGTATTTCACAAAATCCATGACTGTTGGCGTGGGCTAAACTGATCGATATTACCACTGGACAGTCTGGGTAATCATTTTTAGCTTTTTTACTCTTTTTCCAACCTATCTGGTCATCTTTTTACAATATTGCTATGTTCTGAGATCTTGACAAAACCTGCCAAAATAAGATCCATGTTGAAATAATTCTGAATTATCCTTTAAGTTTAGCGTGTGCTAAGGCTAGAGCAGTACTTCTCAAATAGTGGGGCGCGCCCCACTGGGGGGGGCGCAGTGAGGTGTCAGGGGGGGCGCGACAGGCAGGAGTGACTGACCGAGAAGGAGAGATGGAGAAGTTTCTGACAGGAGTAAAAAGAAAAACGGAGGAGGCGTCAGGCAAGAACAGCAAGTAACGGTAACCGGACGAAGCCTACATAGCCTTTGGGTTTACCGTGAATACGGTCGGAAATGAGGAAAGACCTGTGTGTGTGTGTTTTATGTTTAAAAACTCTGGCAGCGGACAGCATGAAACCAAACTAATTAAGACGGCACCTGGAGACCTTACACCCCACTGGACTTTTTTTTTATCGAAAGCCCGATGAGTATCGCCAACAGGCCGGTCATTTAGTGAGCGCGGCATCACTAAATAAAAACGCAGCGTTAGCCTCGTACAAACACCGCCACATCGCAAGGTGCAAAAAACCAATCACAATAGCAGAGGAGCTAATACTCCAGCAGCATTGGACATGGTCACAATCATAGGTGAGAAAAGTGCTGAGACACTGAATACTTTCTCTCCAATGACACGATCGGGAGACGTATATTTGACATTTCATACGACCTCCAAGAAGAACTCACAGAACATCTAACAGACAAACGTTAAATATAAGTAATATTGTTGCAAATTTTGCACACAAAAAAACCAAATGTTAAAAAGTCATATACCTTTTTGAAAAGGAATAAGCTGATGAAGTTGAAGGGTGTGTTTAGTTGTTGCAGATGTTATCTCAGCTCATTTTATTAATCTATTTTGATAATCAGGTGATTGTATGCAGAATGCTGGTGCCAGCAACTCATACAGTGGTTTGTACAGATTAATAAATAAATATTATCAGTTTCTCAATAGTATTAAAATTCAGGGGGGGCGTGAAAAAATTTCTGTCCTCTAGGGGGGGCATGACAGGAAATAATTGAGAACAACTGGGCTAGAGGAATATGCAGAACACAAGGAGTACAGTTCAAACTGTGGTTGTCTCCTTCAGAGCCTTGGACGACATCTGGGAGAGCATTAAAGAGCTGCAGTACTACAGAGCCAACGTCTTCAAAGCCTCAACGGAGGGGAAGAAGATTGTAGAGAATGGAGGCAGCAACAATAGTTAGCACACACCATTAAGACTATGGAGCCTTCAGTGTTGTGTTGTTTCCTAAAGAAAGCAGTTTCATCATGTAAACTCGATTTTACTTTCTGTTCATATTTAGCTGCCCGATGGTCATTTATTTCAGTATTGTTCAAAGTTTAATACAGAGGTTTCATCAAAGGGAGTCAGATTGTTTATTCAAGTTTAAAAGAGGAACGTTTGAATATGACCTCTGGTAGTTTGCAGTTTTGTATTTATTTAGACATCTGGGATTGATTCTCATTTTCCCTTGTTTTTAAAATGAAACCAAATAAACTATGGTCCCTGTGGAAACCGTCCAGTCTGCCTGTGTCATCTTTATCAACCAAATATCACACATGCTAAAGAGTTGAATTCTCATTCTTCTTACTTGTATAGCATCAAATCATAACAGAAGTTATCTCAGGACACTTTTCAATTGGAGCAGGTCTGGACTTTACTCCTTATAAAAAATTTTCCAGAGACCCAACAGTTCCCACCATGAGCAAGCATGAGGAAGGGGGCAGAGATGCACAGCAACAATATTAATAACAATAACAACTATAATAGTAGGAAGATGCCTAATGATGATAGATAGATAGATAGATAGATAGATAGATAGATAGATGCTGTATTTATCCCGAGGGAAATTCAAGTATCCAGTAGCATATTAAACAAACATTAAACCTATATTAAAATGAAATAAAAATAAAATTAACTTATAACACAGTAGCCACAGTAAACAGTGCAAATGGAGGTAGAAATTGTCTATTGCTATTCTATTTCATTATTTATCTTTTATAAGCTACTCTTTGTGTTCTTGTTGTTTTTTATTCTTCCCTTTCTGTATGCTGTTGCAAACTGCAATTTCCCCATTGCAGGACAAATAAAGGTTTTCTTATCTCATCCTATCTTATTGTCCTCCCTGCCTTTACTGAGAGCTGTTGTACAGTCTGATGGCCCAGGGGACGAAAGAGGTTTTAAGTCTGTTGGTGGAGCTGGATGACGATGACAGCAGTAATAGTGATAATTATGTAAGAACAAAGTGAAGATCATCACTTCAGCTTATTACAAAATGGTGAAATATATACATATTTATGTATACACTGATCAGCCATAACATTATGACCACCTACCTAATATTGTGTAGGTCTCCCTTTTGCCACCAAAACAGCTCTGACCTGTTGAGGCATGGACTCTACTAGACCTCTGAAGGTGTGCTGTGGTATCTGGCACCAACATTTTAGCAGTAGATCCTTTAAGTCCTGTAAGTTGTGAGGTGGGCCTCCACGGATTTGAATTGTTTGTCCAGCACATCCCACGGATGCTCGAATGGATTGAGATCTAGGGAATTTGTCAACAAGTCAACACCTTGAACTTGTTGTGTTCCTCAAATCATTCCTGAACCATTTTTGCTTTGTGGCACGGTGCATTATCCTGCTGAAAGAGGCCACTGCCGTCAGGGAATACCATTTCCATGAAGGAATGTACATGGTCTGCAACAATGCTTAGGTAGGTGGTACGTGTCAAAGAAACAAACATCCACGTTGCAGGACCCAAGGTTTCCCAGCAGAACATCGCTCAACACATCACACTGCCTCTGCCGGCTTGCCTTCTTCCCAAAGTGCATCGTGGTGCCATGTGTTCCCCAGGTAAGTGACGCACATGCACCTAGCCATCCACAAGATGTAAAAGAAAATGGCCCCCTTCTTCCATTGCTCTGTGGTCCAGTTCTGATGCTCATGCTGATGTGCTTGTTGTACACAGTAAATTCAGCAGTGTTGATTTAACACTTAAAGAGTAAATTTTAACACTGGGTCAGATAACATATGGTCCCTATCTACAGTTAAACAGTTAAAGTAACACTTACACTGGTGTTGAATTTTCAGAGTTAATTTAACTCCGGTAAGAGTTAATATTTAACACTATACCAAAATATTTAACACTGAAAATTGTTAATTAAGTTTTACACTAAGACGGTAACAACACCTATAGTGTTATTTACATTTTACACTAACAGTTTTTAAGTGTCAATCAGAATTAACTCTTCAACTTTACTCTCCACAAATGTTAAACCTACTTAACACTACTACTACTACTACTACTACTACTTCTACTACTTCTACTTAAGTGTTTATTAAGCATTTACTCCAGACGGTGTTAGTGCTAGTGTTAAGAGCTGATTACTCTGCACTTATTGTGTAGTGTTATTCTTACCTAAGTCCTGGACTTTCAAAATAAAACCAATTCTTGTCTTTTGCAATTTTCTACTTTAGTCTTGCTGACACTTACAAGTAAAACCTAAAATGTTTGTAGAGGTTTTTAAAAAAGACCATTATATCCATGTCTTAACAATAATTTATTAAACATGAATATAAAAACAATTTAACAGACAAGGAAATGTTCATAGAATATAAATAACATTGTTAACAATTTGCCCTTAAAAAAGTCACAAACACTGGTCAAGGCTGCATTAGATGGCAATATGGAACTATAAAAAGGGAGACATCTGTTGGTCCATATGCCATTTGAATATCAAGTGGTTTGAAGTAGAGCAAATCTTGAACATTGAACACCTTAATTGCCTGCAGGGGATTTCTAAATGCATTGCTATGTTCATCAAAACAAATGGTTTCTACACCAGAACCAGCAAGTATAACTTGCTCATCTTTTACAATAATAGTCCTGATCTAACAAAATACTGGCATCTCTTCAGCTACCTGAACACATACTATTAAGCCAGGACGATATTCAGTGCCATAGTGTTTTACCCACTTCACAGTCAGAACATTGGTGGATATTGCAGTGTTTAATTTGGCAGCAAGCTCAGGACCCTGTTTCAATTCTCTAAGTTGTGACATCTTTCCTGGACCAACAGTTAATCTGCACTGACTAAAAGATTCCCAATACAAGGCCATGTATCTTTGGTGCTTTTTGGCCAATGTCTTTGTGATATTTTTGAAACTTTTCAGTTGGGTCTTAAAAAAGTTGTGCTTTGTTTCGTAGCGCATAGACCACATGTGCAGAATTGGTCCAATATTCCTTATACATCTAGGATAATGTATCATGAAATAATGCTTAGACAAGAGATTTCTAGCAGGAAACAAACGCTTAAAAAGCTGATGATGCTCAACGATAATGTGTTTCAGAAAAATAGTCATACCATCAGTTATAACTGGGGAAAACACAATATTAACTATCTGCAGAAGCAACAAAAAACAAAAGATGCCAGTACTCATCATCTCTCTGAACTAGATCCAATCCAATCCAACTTTATTTGTTAAGCACTTTAAGAACAACCAAAGTTGACCAAAGTGCTGTACAGGAGAATAAATAAGACATCATAAATGTAAACAGTGATGGTGATGAAGACCACTGTGAGGAATATAGACAGTGATGGCGATAACACTGGAAAGTTCCCATGGCAGATAACATGGACGAAGACCAACGGCGACGAGCTCGATGTCCAGGCTGCAGACGCTCTTTCACACAGACGTGCCCGGCGTTACACCACCTGTTGTTTATGAGCACGGACATTCCCCCTCCTTTCTTCATGCCGGTGTGACAGTTTAACTGGTGGTTGAATTAACTGGTGATATTCCAGAGCATTGCTGCAGATTTGTACACTAGAAATACTGACTGAATTTACTTCTTTTTATCATTTTAACCAACCAGAATGAAATCTGTAACACTGTAACACTCCAGTTCTGATTTCAAATAAGATTAACGGAGTTACCTGGAGTTTGAATTAATTTTATTTGCGATGGAGATCTCCTGACGCTTGAAAAGAATGACACAGTAGGTGACTGTGTTGATGCCTGTTCCAAACACTGCAAATGTCAATAAGCAATTCAGAAAATGTCTTTGCTGTCGTTTTACGAATTCTTATTAATCTGATGTCCAGTCTATTTGAGAAGAGTTTATACTGTCACACAGTCTGTAAGGAAACATACAGTCTGCAGTATATGTTTAATGCATTGTGGAGTCAGCTGTGGCAAAGCGTGATACGCCCAGATCAACTGGTGATAGCCTACAACATTTTACCATCGATCATGTCGCGTCTTCACTTTTAATCTCACCAATCACAATGATATTATTTACACAACAGCACACTCTTTCTTCCAAGTTAGACAACTGTGAAATCTCATTTTGCAATAGGAACAGAAATTGGATAAAGTTAAAACTTTAATCAGTAGAGGGGCTACACTATACAAATCCGATTCACATGTCACAACTTTGTGGGATTTTGAATAAATGGGACAGAGATTATAAGATGTGATAGAATTGTGGTATTATATATAGAAACAGTCAGTATATGTTTAATACCGTGTTGAAGTAGAGTTGTGGCAAAGCATTATATGACCAGATTAACTTGTGATGCAACGTCTGTCTACCATTGATCACATTTCATATTAAAGTTTATCTAAACTTTTATCTTTTATTTATATTCTTTACATGTCAGCAAAGTCTTTCAACCAAATTAGATATTGTAATTAATTTGGCAAATAGGAGCAGAAGTTGGATGCCCAGCTGAACACAACTTATTCAAATCCACAGAGTTGTGACATGTCCAGCAAACATGTTGACTGAATTTTGTAGACTGTTGGGATGAGTGAGCGAAACGTCTAGATTTTAGTATTACACAGTTCTCCACACTGCTTGGAGCGTAAACTCAGACTGATTCATTTATAGGCTGGATGAATTACACACATTAAAAACAACTATGACACAACACCGATAACATGAGGATTTTGGACGTTTTATTGACGTTATCAGTGTTATCACATACATTACCATTCCCTATAGTCCTCACTTTATACTCTTACAGATTTGAGAACCTACTGGTTCCTGAGGAATACATAAATATTCATTGTGGAGACGTTTTTGTGAAGGTTTTTTTTTATCACATCAGAAACTACGAGCTTTGAGCTCATCATCTCAACCAGTCTCACTCAGGAGAATATCACTTGTTAATCCAAACTCGAGCTACTCCGTTAATGTGGTTTTACAACAGTGCGAGCGTGTGGTTGCCTTTATAGGCCTACACAATTTCATTTTGGTGTGTTTAAATTATTTTAAATAGTTAGTGTTTCTAAGATGTATTGTAAACCTATTGTATGATTACTATATATGATATCCAAAGGAGTCTTAGATGTATACTCGGGAAAAGAACTGAAACAACGGTAGCGATCAGCAGCTGTTAATGTCTCCATGACAGCGAATAATAGTTCCGTAGTGAGGAGCAGACACCAACATTATTGTTCCAGTAAAGAGTTTCTATTGCAGTGTTTTAAAAGTCACCAACAACTGAATGTCATAGAAGTAGTCAGAATCTTTATTTCCTGGTTCGGCAATAAGGGGTCCTAAGAAGCCACGCCTACACACATCTGCCTCAGTATCACCAGTTAATTCAACTCCAGTTAAACTGTCACACCAGACGCAGTGGTGTCCCTGTCGGCTCGAACCGTCTGGAAGCCGGGAATGGTGACGTTGGAGTCCGGTATCTGCTCGTGTAGCCACGTTTGTAGGGTTTAAAGCTCCTCTTCTTCATCCTCCGTTTAACCCCCGCTCTGCAGCCTCGCCGTCTCCTCAGCTCCTCGGGTATGGAGGGTCTCTCTCCAGTCAGGATGCTAGGGTACCTCAGGGCGATCATCTGGTCGCGGGTGTAAACAATGCAACTCGCCGTCGCCATGGAGACCCGTGCAAACAAAAAATAAAAAGTGCTCAAAAACGCCCAAAAAGTATTTAGGCGACGTGAACAAAGTAGTAAGAAAGTAAGAAAACAGTTAAAAATAGCAAAAAACAGACTGAAAACACACTGAAACTACAACAATGATAGGAGCTGCCATGACAGGCTCCATGGATCACCAAATATCAATGGCATGTTGCGCAACAAACACCAGGACTGTATAGCATTCAGGCCCAAATCATTTCTTCCATCAAATAACTTAACTGCAGGAGGACGATTTCGCCTCTCAGTGTGGCCATAGTTAAATGACTCTATTCTACCAGCCAATTCTTTAGCAGTTAAAAAGTTCAGCAGCACATACTCCAACAGATGTTTGACCTCAAACTGTGCAACTCCTTCTAAAATGTCATGCATGATATCAACTGAGAAATTATTAGCTGTGTTGAAAAACTGCAGTCTGTTCAACAGACATGAACGCTTCACACCATATACATGAGGTAGTTGTGGATTTGTCTGTATAGTAGAGCAATGTTCTGCATGCATGTATTTTGTTCGTAATATCACACTTTCTTCATCTTCACAGAACACAGTTTGAAAATCACCTTTCTCTATGATACAAAAACCACAGCAGTTCTGAGCACTGAATGATTCCACAAACCCAAACAGTCCATGTTTACCAAGATTATCACCTGTGACTTGCACAATGCTACCAAGAACAGGACTTTTGAACATGGGAGCTGTAATCCCACCAGTTTCAAGCACCTTCAAGTCACTGACGATTGGCTCAGATATGGTGTCAAACCCATAGGTTTTAATGTCCTGTGCATTAAAAAGTGCACACAAATGTATATTGACTAAAGACGAATTTAATTTTGGTGGGAATCCCAGTGGATTCACAGTCTCAAAATCATCATAAAATAATTGAATTTGCAGTGCAAAAAGGGGATGTCTCTTCATATACAACCCATCTTGTAAATCAAAATATACACCATCTTTGGGAATGTGGGTAGGTGTTAACATATTTGCAAAGTCTGGATTTCTGAGAATAGACTGCAGTGTTTCTAGAATTGGGACATAGGCAAATTTGTCAGTTACAACAACCTGATCATAAGTTCCAGTACATCTGTTTCTTCTATTTTCGAATCTGACACAAAGTACTTTTTCGACAGGTTCAACTGTTTTCCATTTTTGTTGAAAGTACTTGTTATGTTTTGTTTCAGAATTCAATGAGGTGAAAGGGTTTTCAAGTTTTTTAAAACTTTGTTCAATTTTAGCTTTCATACTAGTATCCTGTAATGATAGAAATGTTAAAGCTGCAGCTTTGCTTGACTCTGTACCTCCAGTACGACGTCTTCCATGGATGATAGAAAACCATTTAAAGTAAACTGGCTTACACCAGCAACCTGAAGCTGTGCAATAGCAGATGCACACAAATCATGAGTACTTGTGTTGGATACGGGCAGAACTTGAGACGTACTGGCAGCTTCTTCACTAATTGGCAACTGAGCATCATCTGCAACATCAGTGTCTACAATGTCAGTTTCAACTTCAAGTTCAATTTGATCAGCATGCTTTGTATTTAGATGCTTCCTAAAGCCTGAAAATGTGCCAAAAACCTGGCAGCATCCTGCCTGAGCACATTTTAAGCGAAGTGATTTGCCCTGATATAAACCATGTATTAATCGCATATGCCTCACAAGACTGTTGGTGCTCACAAAATGAATCTGGCAAACAAAACAAATAACCTCCATGATATCAAGTAAGATGTTAAAGTGTGATATAAAAATGGGTGAAATGGGTCAAAGAAAATCTCACAATATCCAAAACTCAAGACAACATTATTGATAAATTAACAGAAAATATGTTGCCTGTTCCATATGTCAGTGTATGCATGAACTAGCCTGTAGAATGCAGAAGTCTAGCCCTCATCTCAGCAACACGTGGGCTCTCCTGGACTTGGCCCAAATCAATGTCGTAGACAGTTGTCTGTATGAAGGTGTACATGTTAGGGCTGTAACGGTTCTGAAACCGAGACCGAAATGGTGACACAAAAGTCCACGGTCTCGTGTCACGGATCCGAGAGACAGAACTGCGACACACTCGCTCCCTGGACTGTTGAGCTCTCGTTAAGACAGTGCAGACAACTGCGGCGGTGGCGGCGGCCCATGGGGTATTAGGCCTATATTGTATTTGTATTGACAGTAGGTTATTCTAGGTCATTTTCCACCTTATTTTAGTGTTTATTTACTATTTTAATCTGCTCCCTTTCTCTTCTCCCCACACTTACACACAGCACACACACCTAGCCTGGACCTCTGGTCACTCACGGCAAACACGCCCGCTTGCTCCGCCTCTTTCTGTCTCTCTCTCCCTGTGTGTGTCTCTGCTGACTTTCTCCATCAGCAGTACATTTCATAAACTCACCCGTGATTCAGTTTTCAAGTGCATGTGGGTCCAAACCGAAACTAACGTTAGTGAGTGACATCTGCAGTGTTGTGTTCAGTGACAGTCCGTAATGTAAGAGTTCTGCCGTATCCGCTTAATGTAATATCAGATAACATCTCTCTCTCTCTGTTTCTCTGCAAAATGGGGAAACGGGGAAAACCGCGGTATGAACCAAACCGTGGCTCAAAAATCAAGGTCTGAACCGAACCGTGGATTTGGTGAATCTTTACACCCCTAGTACATGTTGTGGAGCATCTGATTGTATGAGTCCCAAATACAAAGTGTGCCTTCACAAGTTCATCAAAAGCTCCAAGTGAAGTGGTTGAGTTGCATGGTATGACCTGCTTGTCCAGAACGATGAAGAACTCATGGATTGCGCTCCTCTTCATGCCAACAGCAAGTAGATAGGGTTGAGTGGTGCTGTTGATGATATCAATGTATTCCTGGATGCTTGTTCCACTCTAAAAAAAAACAAAACAATAAAACATTTAGTTAATTTACTTACACTATACTATACACAGGAACAGAAAAGAATAAATACTTTATTGATCCCTCAAGAGGAAATTCTTTTTTCACTCAAGTTTTTACATTCATTGGCCCAAAATACAACACACACAAAGGGCTCATAGACATGCAAATGTGGAGAGATGGTGGAGTGATGGACAGCCACGTAGCGGCACCCTGGGAGCAGTTAGGGGGTTCGGTACCTTCAGTACCTCGGTAGTGCCCAGGAAGTGAACTGGCACCTCTCCAGCTACCAGTCTACCCTCCATACTTTGGTCCATGCTGGACTTGAACCAGTCACCCTCCGGTTCCCAAGCTAAATCCCTACAGACTGAACTACTGCTGCCCCCAGACACAATGAGGGGAAAATATTGTGTTTTCTTCCAACTTTACAAGAACCCCAGCTGTCTGAAAAAGTAAATAAAAAAAGAAAAAGAAAAAGAAAAACACCCATATAAGCTATAATACAAACCTTCTTGAACACGACAAGGTGCTTCTCAGCTTGGGATGCAGACACCTTGCCTGGCCTTTTCTGCCCCTGGGCTGTTGGAGGAATCAGGTGGAGGAGAATGATTGAAGATAGATCACTGTCCCATCCTGTACACAGAAACAAAAGAGCTAAATGTTATATGATTGTACAATTATTTTACAATTTAAAAACACCATTCCTTTAAAGTTAAAGCTGACTAAAGAAAAAGCTGGTCAAAGTCAAAAACCTTGAAGAAAATAATTAGGAAAATAAAGTACCAGAGGCAATAATGTCATTATCCATTTCCTCTTCATTTGATGTAACTTTTGCACAATAGATCAGATCTTCAAGGTCGCCTGAGGAAGGGAGAGCCTTACTCTGCTGGATGACCCTTTTCTTGAATGTTGTAGGCCACCTAGATAGAGAAATATTTTATTAATACAACATGGAAAAATTCATACACCACCAGCTGACATAAGAAAAAGCAGATAAAATGTATCAAAGATCAGAATAACAAAACTAAATGTTTCCATCAGGTAACTATGTTATTTACATGCTAAAAAGGCACCAACTTGTATACAAGTTCTAAAAACAGCTACATCCTCAAGTATTCCAATAAGAGGTAAATGTGTAGATGTTATACAGACAATGAGAGTAAAACAAGTGCCTTACAGATGATCACCTCATAAATCTATAACAGGGTTTTTGGGTAAAGACAAATATAGTTAGGACTAACCTCTCCAAAAACTTGGCAGCTACATCTTCTCCAAACTGCAAGATGAAGTCTTGCTCAATCTGCAAAAGATAAATCACATACCACAAGTTAAGACATAACTACAGCATTCTCTTTTTCTTTTTTTACATTTGTTTGGCCTAATGGACATTTCTCTGTAAAATGAGAGTGAAGTAAAGAAAGTGAATACAATTTATTTCAATGCTTATAATAAATGTCAAGAATTAAATAATGACACTTGTTTTCCCAATAAAAAAACATGGAAGAAATGTTCTGCTTGAAACACAAATATCCATATTACCCATAAGTTTCAGTCATATCTGCTGCAAGGATGTTAACCATCTGTCGCCGCGAGGAATCAGTCAGGCCTTTTGTCCGGTTGTATTCCTTAGTAATACGATCTCCACCGGGTTTCTTGGTCAACGCTGATTCAACCACCTGTGAAAGGACAGAATAAAAGACAAGCCATTATTCACTAAAATTAAATAACCTTGAACAATTGACAGTCAATACATTTAAAAATAATAAAAAAAAGTATGCAATGCACAAATTGAAGCTGGCACAAAATATGTTCTACACTGACTTACTTGTTTGGCATCTTGATTTACCTTCTGCCGTTTTCTGGAAGGACCGCTGTCCAAATCCAGGATGATTGTATCATCAGAGCTGGTTGATGATGAAAGGGCCAATGCTGAATTGGTTTGGACTGGTGGACTGGCAGATGAAGCGTTCCCCTGTGAACCTAAGTGAGAAGAAGGGAGGACAGAAAAAGATAAACAAGAACCATTTGTCAGTTTTTCACGACCTAAGTGTAACCGAGTCTTAATGCATTTTGCTGAAAGAAATTGAGAGAACAAGTTTACCATTGTCAAACTGAATAGTAAATACACCAGCATTGGGCAGCTGTGCCACTTCTGCAAAGACATCTGCATCCACCTCAGTTCCTGTTTCATCATAAACTCTGATGCCTTCATTGACGGGTGGGATGGAGAACTTCACAAAAGCTTGGGGGGAAAAAAATACAATACAAACATGCATTAGGTAAAAAAAAAAAAAAAAACATCACGAGGCATCCCACACCCAAAAAAGTAAAAAAAAGTTGTAAAACTTCAATTTCCATCTTTATGCACAAAATAACCCTGAACAATGATATGCATTTGTAAAAGTCATAAACTGACAATTACTTTAATTTTGTTTTTATAGTGGTGTGTGACTGGTGGCTTACCAGAATTCAAGAATTCATCCAGACTTGGTTCACTGATCTTGACATATTTCTGTTCATTATTGGTTTTTGTTTTAATCAACATGATGGAATCTGTAAATACAGTAAAACCTAATGAGCATTATGATCTACAACCCAAACCTACTCTGACAGTAGCATCAGTGTCTGTTAACATAATATTTTAAATAGTGAAATCATACTGGTCAATTTGAGCCTAAAAAATAAAAAACACTATCACAATTTGTCTCACTTTAAATTTAGAGCCTTTGGACTGTGCACTCTCTTAGTTTTGCATGCAAAACCCATTCGGTCATGTGTATAAACAAAGACTATAAATATTAACATATATGAAATATTACCTACCATCTCTGGACCACAGCACAAAATGGACAAATCTGAGAAAAGTAGAAAAATAAATACGTTCCGAACACCATGCATCGCCATCACTTCACAACAATTTGACATTCAATCTGTTTAACATAGAGGTGGGCGATATATATCGTTTGCGATAACATCGTCATTGTTGTTTTGACGATGTGCAAATTTCCATTATCGAGTATTTAAATGACTTCGCCAAAAATATTGAAACGCCCGCGGAAACTCCTCACATCCACTTAATACACATTGCAGCAACGCTCTCTACAGCATGGCAGGATTCCGTCACACGACTAGTGGGCCTACATGATCACATGACGTGATCACATGACCTCTCGCTAGCATCCTCCTTGCAACAGTTTAGCAGCGCGTTATGATGGTAGAGAGAAAATGCAAGCACCTCCAGTCCCTGAAGCTACCGGTACTTCAGATGATTTAGTGCCGAGACGTGGGTCTACCTCTCTGGCATGGAAATGGTTTAGTTTCGAAAAATACTTTTTTAGCGCAGCGCTCAGCTTCAAGTTGAAATCTGTTCAACTTTTAACACCGTTGGGCGCTCGGAAAATGAGTTTTTGAGCGCTCAGCACTAAAAACGCGTTTGGTGGACACAAGCCCTAACTCAGACAATTCCAATCACATTTTAAAGGATATCGACTGATTATCGTTATCGCCAAAATTCCCAAAAATAACGAGATATTATTTTTGCCCATATCGCCCACCCCACGCCCAGTTTGTAATTTAGACTTTTATCCAAAGGACACATCAATAAATTCACTATCCAACCATTCCTAGCAAAATGCTAACTCAACTGATCCGAAGTATTTTTGTGTCGGCTTCACAGGAAGAAATCAGTATTTTTATTTGCTTTGCCTGATGTCTCCAATGTTCCATGTTTGAAAAGGCACCAATGTTTGCCACATGCGTGCGTGCGTGCGTGCGTGCGTGCGTGGAGGTGTACAGATAAAACAAACGATAGCGCCTGTGTAACGGTAACGAGCCAAAAATAGACAAAACAAACAAATAAACACAGTGACAAATTTACTAATATGACAACACGACATTAGCATTAGAGTTTTTATTCAGGGTTGACTTTAATCCATGCAGAATTGCCCGCTCAAATAAACTTCACGTTAGCCACACACAGCTAGTCACCAACATTAGCTAGTAAAGTCAACTAGGGCTGCAACGATTCCTCGAGTACCTCGAGTAACTCGATTACAAAGAATGATCGAGGAATTTCGTCTGCCTCGAAGCCTCGTAAAGCTCACGTTTTGCACGGATTCTTTTTAGTGTGACACAACGTGCTTACGTCACAGGCTGTGTGTCCCCTACAACGCGGAAGAAGACGGAAGCGGGCTCTGTAACGTGTGTGGACAGCTTTGCTGTACAGAACGGCAGACGCCGGGAGTGAAAACTGAAAACAGTGATCTGTCTTGTTTTCTATTGTATATTTATAATCGGGCTTTAATGAAGCAAAAGTATGTTTTATCCGATTACTCGATGAATTGATGGAATATTCTATAGAATACTCGATTACCAAAATATTCGATAGCTGCAGCCCTAAAGTCAACTCTCCACGTGTGTGTGCAATCTTCACTATTTGACTGAAATCTATGGACATTAAAAAGGAACACCTCAACAAAGTTTACCCCAACATTGTATAGTTTGACATTAAATAATGTCGTTATTTAGCCTAAAATTGCTTGCACATCTAAGCTAGCTTTCAACTAGGTCATGTTAGCCCTTTGTAATTCTGTATTTTAAGGCACAAAACCAGCTAGGGTGTATGGGGAACAGCAATTTAAAGTTAAAAAATGGGTTAATATAGACTTAGGAGCAAAAACTTACCGGAGTTTTTCGATGACAGAAAATGGCGTCTGGTTGTCTTCTGCTCGGCTTGATTTGAAACGGGGGGCGGGGCTTTCCACGTGATGTCACCAGCACTAGCAGACTTTTTACTCTCAGGTGTTGTAATAACTCTAGATGAGTACTTGTACTTTGACACTGCACACCAGTGTCAAACACAGAGTAGTTTTTACACTATGTATTTTAACTTGAAATTGACACCAACACTGGGCAAAATGGGGCGGCTTCTTACACTTCCTGTTGTTGTAATAACTCTGAAAGAGTCCACAAACTTTGACACTCATATTTGACACTGGAGAATTTACTGTGTAGGCGCTTTCGGCAGTGGACAGCATGGGCACCCTGACTGACTGACTGTGATGCACTGTGTGTTCTGACACCTTTCTATCAGAACCAACAACTGTCTATTTTTCTGCTTCTAACACATTCACTTGCTGCCTGATATATCACACCCACTGACAGGTGCCATCATAGCCAGATAATCAGTGTTTGATGTTTGTCTGACTTTACCATATATTCTACATTTATTTCATTTTTATTCTGCTTTATGAAAATATTTGCAGCAGTTAAGCTTGATTTTACAGGGGTACTGGCCCCCCTTGCCCTCCTTTAGAACCACCAGTGCTCTAGGAGCAACACTAGATGGCAGTGTGCAGCTTGGAAAAATCTTAATTGCGGAACAGTGTCTTGTCCTGTTTGACAGTGAGGTAGAAGTAGGGAAATGCCAAATGGATGAAGACAGGTGATGACAAATGAGCTGAGAGTTACATGAAATCACAATGTGGATAGATGATTCAGAACTCATTATTAACATCAAATTGCTCATCAAAGCCATTGTTTGGTGTTACAAGGATCCAATTCAAGAGCTCAGTTCACACTGATCATTTTTACAGATTTTACTCAACCTTTCCATCCATTTGAACTATTAACCTGCTAAACACAAACTCTTTCTTTCTTTGCACAATACCTTGTAACATTTTTTTTTTTTTTTTGGGACTCAGCCTTGGTCGCCAGCTCTGCCAACTGACCAATCCGGGCGCCCAATACCTTGTAACATTTAACATGTAGTTATCCATTCCAGTTATCCATCTGGACCATGTTCCACTTATTGTATATAGTGTATATATGTTTTATATTGCTATATTTTTTCTCTATATTTCTATCCTTTTTCTGCTCTTTGCACCACACATTTCTCCTATGAGGAATCAAATAACGGAACATCTTATGTTATCTTCAAAGCCTAATTTGTTTTTAAATATCTGTTAACTGATGTTTAATGATGGAACTGTTAAAATGTTAGAACTTACGTCATATCTGTCATAATATTGGGCTTATTTAAAAAGCAATGCAAGGTTGAGGTGGACATAAGCAGTTTTTTGTTTGTTGATATTTCTCATAAATAAATTACTTACACACTGATGTGGCATTTCCCAAGGTTTGGTGTCCAGGTTGAAGTGTTTTGCTGACTTATAGAAAGGCCTCTGTCCCTGGAGTTGTTCCTGTATCTATTAAACAAATGAACATCATGGCGTGTGTGTGTGTGTGTGTGTGTGTGAGAGAGAGAGAGAGAGAGAGAGAGAGAGAGAGAGAGAGAGAGAGAGAAAGCCCCCCCCGCTTTGGTCAGCGCAATATTTATAACCTTGATGTGAGTGCTTCTGTACATTATGAGGCTTCATTATAGTGTCACACAGAACATAAATTCAAATAGAGAAATACAGAGGGCTCATACAGAGCAAACAAATGTTTGGGATCAGTGGGCCTCCTTCTCGTGCGTATGCACAAATCTGTGCTCAAACTGTATGTACCAATGTTTCATGCATAAATACATGCTCTGTGATCAAATTCAGAACTGCCTCAGACCCTGTATACACACAAATGATAATGTCTTGAACTTTCAATCAGTAAAAAAAAAGACTTTAATAGTCAACAATATTTAAAACAGTTAATTTACTAATGCATTGGCCTGATGTATTAAATAACATGAAATAACATAACTGTCATCCTCATCATCCTTTATGACCATGTTTCTCTCTTCCAACAACTTCGGGAGCTGAAAATAATAGTTTTTTTAAACAAAACAAAAAACTATTCAGTCTGACTTTTATGTAGTGTTTTATGATTTTATGGCTTTAATATTTATGATTATTTATTATCATCATTTATTGTATCATGTTTTTTATCTACATTTTACTGTTTTAGTATAATAATTTTATTTTGTAATATTATATGTATTGCTATCGTTTTGCCGTGCATTAGTCTTGCACTGAATCCTTTTTTTCTGAACAGTACATCTTGTCAGTTGCTTGTCACATTGATTTGCATTAGATTAGCTTAAAAGGTGCTATATCAGTTGTTCCCAACCTTTTTCTTTTAGTGACCACTTTTCTATCATATAGTATACTGACTTAGTGACAAATATAGAATGATTCTGATTCACTAACATACACACAGTGATACGATTATAAATCAGTGTGGTTTTGTGTACACACTGATTTTGTGCATTATGTAAAAACATTTACATGCCCTTATTAGTGAATGAGGCCAAATGAGCTGAATAAACACACTCCTGGACTGGATTTAATTGAAATAGGGATTTTAGTGAAAAAAACGCTGTTTGGGTGTAGTCTCTGTACATGGCATTGAAATTTCATTTAATTGCTGACTCAGCCCAAATTCTCTAATCATTATTTCACCTCCGCCACCCACCACGGCCTATTCTCTTTTATTCTGAAATCTAAATAGATGGGGTAGCAGACAACTTGTGCTTTTTACACACACATATAGCCGCACTCTGCGTGAACATGTGACAGCCCTCAGACTCAATCTCAGCCTCCCAGATTTGAGTTAATCTGACAAGGCAGGTCATGAAAGGGAAGACGAAAAGCCTCTGCTAACCCAACTTCAAAGTGAGGGAGAGGATGTGGAGATGGATAGACAGCTTCTGACCTGGACTGTGTGCATTCATGCTGTTGTGTGAAAATTTAGTGGCCGTTTCCTGACCCCTGACGTGCAGCCAAGCTGTCAGTAAAATCTTTGTTCCTTTCTTTTTTTTTTCTTCAACAGACAAGTCGAGGCATTTGCTTACACTATATGTTAACAAGGATCTCAGTTCATTAAAACCTCAGCCATGGTGAAGTCTGTCTCTGCCACCATACAGAAAAAATATTTTTTACGGAGAATTCACACCCAATGAAAGATACGTATTTTTCCTCTTCCCTGTAGTAATGTTTATCTGTCTAGATTGTTTTGGTGTGAGTTGCTAAGTTTTGTTGTAAGGTCTACAATATAATGGAACCAGATTTCACTATATCCTGACAGTAGTACATGAGACAGATAATAAAATCAGGTTTCTCTGGCTCCTCCTAGCGCTCCTAGGGGTATTTGCAAGAAGCCACCGGCCTTGAACAAAAACAACCAGAGCAAAGAGAGATTTTTATTTTTTTAAAGGTTATTGTGGAAGTTTAACAATCAGCTATCAAGGGGGTAAAGAGAAAAGACAGAGACAAAGGAGCACCACAACAACTATACTGATAACGATGATGACGACAACAGCCACAACGATGGGGAACGATGGACAATAATAATAGTAACTATAATAATGGTAATAATAATAATAATAATAAGCTAGTGACTGAAGCTGATTCCACAGGAGAGGAGCTTGGTAACTGAAGGCTCTGGCTCCTGTTCTACTTTTAGAGACTATAGGAACCACAAGTAGCCCTGCATTCAGAGAACACAGTGTTCTAGAGGGGTAATAGGGTACTATGAGCTCTTTAAGAAAGTGTCTGACCATGAAGAGCTTTGTAGGTGAGGAATAATTGTAGCGTCTAAATTGACTTATTGGGGAAGCCTGATAATAAGGAATTGCTGTAGTCCAGTCTAGAAGTAACAAATGCATGAACTAGTTTTTCTGGTCCGACATTGTCTTTCCATCTACACACCAACTCCACATTAATTTTAGTGACTTCTGATTGGCGTAATTGGGTGTCATTACCGCCGACATGAATAACTATTTTATTATATTTACGCTTATCTTTAGCCAGCAGTTTTAATGATTCAATATCGCCCGCTCTGGCCCCAGGGATACATTTAACTGTGGTAGCTGGCTTCGCTAAATTCACGTTCCTAACTATCGAGCTGCCAATAACCAAAGTTGGTTCCTCACTATGTGTATCACTGAGTAGGGAAAATCTGTTGGACACATAAACCTGTTGGTGGTGAACTGTGGGCTTCTTCAGTTTGCGGCTATGCTCCCGTTTAGTCACCCAGCCTCCCTGGCTTCGAAATAGACAACGCAGTAACAGAATCTTAATTCATATTTGGTCAGCACTGCCAAGTTTGACAGTTTCATCTGAGTTTGGTGCGTTGAGCGTTTTGGTGCATTGGAGGACTCACTGAGAATGACCTGTTAATTCAATTTCAATTTAATTGGCTTTATTGGCATTTAAATCAAACATGTTGCCAAAGCAAATATGAATACTATTAAAACAATGAAATTAAAGAAAAGAGAAGAGAAGAAAATAGATAAAAAAATTTTAATTAAGACTGCAACAGGTCCTTGCACTGGTCAGTGCTCGGGCCCTAATAATAAATAAAAACAAAACAAAAACAACCATTGAACATTGGAATTGCTGTGTAACATGCAGTGACATATTCTCCTTCCAGTTCTAATGTCATGTTGTCTTCGCCCACAAGGGTTTTAATCAGTCACTCTTTTGGGGATCTTTTGTTTGAATTTGAGGAAGATGTTTTCTCTAATTTCTTTGTATTTTGGACAACTTTTGAGACAATGAATTTCAGTTTCAACTTCTCCTGTTTTACAATGGGTACAAATTTGTTTTGTGCTTTCTAGGTATTCTTTTTTAGGGCGCCCAGTGTCAATTGCAAGTTTGTGGTCACTGAGTCTATATTTGGTTAGGTTTTGTCTTTTTATACTTTTATTAATGGGCCCCAAACTTCACTTCCATATAAAAGGAGTGGTTCAATAACATTTTGGAACATTTTAAGCCAAATCTTTAT